ACCCCCGTACCAGCTGGTGGACACCAGAGGTTCGGGGAGCTGTCAGGCTGAAGAAGGAGGCCTACAAGGTGTGGCTGGTCTGTGGGTCTCCTGAGGCAGCAGACAGGTACCGGATAGCCAAGCGGGGTGCAGCAGTGGCAGTTACCGAGGCAAAATCTCGGGCGTGGGAGGAGTTTGGTGAGACCATGGAGAAAGACTATCGATCGGCTCCAAAAAGGTTCTGGCAAACTGTCCGGCGCCTCAGGAGAGGAAGGCAGCAACTCGCTCACACTGTTTACAGTGGGGATGGGGAGCTGCTGACGTTAACTGAGGCTATAGTCGGACGGTGGAAGGAATACTTTGAGGAGCTCCTCAATCCCACCTATGTGCATTCCGAAGAGGAACCAGAGCCGGGAGACCTGGGGATGGACTGTCCAATCTCGGGGGCGGAAGTTGCTGAGGTAGTCAAACAACTACACAGTGACGGAGCCCCGGGGGTGGATGAGGTTCGTCCTGGGTATCTCAAGGTTATGGATGTTGTAGGGCTGTCATGGTTGACACGTCTCTGCAACATTGCGTGGTCATCGGGGGCAGTTCCTGTGGAGTGGCAGACTGGGGTGGTGGTCCCCATCTTTAAGAAGGGTGACCTGAGGGTGCGTTATAACTATAGGGGATCACACTCCTCAGCCTCCCTGGAAAGGTCTACTCCAAGGTACTGGAGAGGAGGGTCCGATCGATAGTTGAATCTCAGATTGAGGAGGAGCAATGTGGTTTTCGTCCTGGCCGTGGAACTGTGGACCAGCTCTATACCCTTGCAAGGGTGATGGAGGGGGCATGGGAGTTTGCCCAACCAATCCACATGTGTTTTGTGGATTTGGAGAAGGCTTATGACCGTGTCCCCAGGGGCACCCTGTGGGGGACGCTCCAGGAGTACGGGGTGGGTGGCTTTCTGTTAAGGGCCATTCAGTCCCTTTACCCGAGGAGCGTGAGTTTGGTCCGCATAGCCGGTAGTAAGTCGGACCTGTTCCCAGTGAGGGTTGGACTCCGCCGGGGCTGCCCTTTGTCACCGGTTCTGTTCATTACCTTTATGGACAGAATTTCTAGGTGCAGCCGTGGTGTGGAGTGTGTTGAGTTTGGTGGCAGGAGAATCTCGTCTCTGCTTTTTGCGGATGATGTGGTCCTCCTAGCTTCATCCAGCTCTGAACTTCAGCTCTTTCTGGGTAGGTTCGCGGCTGAGTGTGAAGCGGCTCGGATGAGGATCAGCACCTCCAAATCTGAGACCATGGTTCTTGACCGGAAAAGGGTGGCTTGCCAACTCCAGGTAGGGGGAGAGGTCCTACCTCAAGTGGAGGAGTTTAAGTATCTCGGGGTCTTGTTCACGAGTGAGGGTAGGAGGGATCGGGAGATTGACAGGCGGATTGGTTCAGCGTCTGCAGTGATGCGGACATTGAGCCGATCTGTCATGGTGAAGAGGGAGCTGAGCCAGAAAGCCAGGCTCTCGATTTACCAGTCGATCTACGTCCCTATCCTCACCTATGGTCATGAGCTTTGGGTAATGACCGAAAGAACGAGATCGCGGATACAAGCGGCCGAAATTAGTTTCCTCCATAGGGTGGCCGGGCTCAGCCTTAGAGGTAGGGTGAGGAGCTCGGACATTCAGGAGGGACTCGGAGTAGAACCGCTGCTCCTCCAGATCGAAAGGAGCCAGTTGAGGTGGTTTGGGCATCTGGTCAGGATGCCTCCTGGACGCCTCCCCGGGGAGGTGTTTCGGGCATGTCCTGCTGGCAGGAGGCCCCCGGGTCGACCCAGGGCACGTTGTTAAGATTACATCTCCAATCTGGTCTGGGAACGCCATGGGGTCCTGCCGGAGGAGCTGTTGGAGAAGGCCGGGGAGAGGACAGTCTGGAACTCCCTAGTTGGGATGCTTCCCCCGCGACCCGGACCCGGATAAGCGGAGGAAGACGACGACGACGACATATTTTTCTTAAAGCTGTTATGACGAATCTGCAAACAAGCTAGGTTTGAACGCACACATGGTCACAGAACACTGTGTGTGCGTACTTCCCCTCATGGATCTTCCCTGAGCTGCTTCTGCAAGACCTACAACCAGATGGTCTAATAATTGCTTTTGGTCTCTGATGTGTAATTGGTAGAAGTTTTCAGACAATTTTCTTCAGTTTATTTATATCTATACTACAGTATGTTAGAACGTTGTGACAATGTGCATTTTCCCTGGCGATAGGGGGCAGTACATACCGAAATCATTGCAAGCAAGCAGTATTTTTGTGCTGGACTAAGACCTTACTAATGAATGGCCATAGGGGTCAAACATTCCTGGGCGTGCAACCTCCAGAAAAATAACAATCACTTCAGATTCCCTTTCATCCCTGGTAATGAGTGAAGAGGTACATGTGTAAAACGATAACGTTCATGAATGGCAAAAGTTTTGTAACCACTTGTTACAAATTAGTAAATGCGCTTTTTTCCTCGTGGGCTCCCGTAGAAGGAAACATGGCGGCCATCTGACATGGCGTCGCCCAGAGACTTGGACCTGCTCCCATGTATTTTAGACCAGATTTTTATGGTTATATGTTACAAAGTAACTGACATTTAATTACTTTTCAACAACATTTTAGTGGATATTTCGATACATTAATGGTAAAAACTACACATTGTCATTTTTAGAGTCATTAAAAACATTTTAAACTAATTTGATACCCAAATTTGCCATTGCAGCTTTATTTTGTGCATTTAGATCTGAGTATTTTTCTGAATATTTCTCTGATTTACATTTAAACATTAGGCTAAAATGTTTTTGTTAAATGTAGGGAAAATGACAATTAAAAAATTCACACTCCACCAGTTTTTTATGCTACTATATGCTCAGCGCATCGTTGCATGCATGGCGAGAATATTTACATAGTTAAAAATAGATTTGTCAGTCAGTAGCTCAATTCTGTTCGCATCCACATGGCTCAGACTTTTCACAAAAAGCCTTTTGAGTCAACTTCCTAAACCTGAGACAAGTTAAGTGTCTTACCAAATCAAAGTGCCTTATGTGATGTAACCGTTCAAAGCATTCATTGTTCTGTGACCCCTTTATTTGCAAGGCTGCTTCTGCTTTGGGAGCACATTTGATTCGGTGGCTTACTCTGCTTGAGAGCTCACGCTTTTCTCATGAGTCTTAAATGGGACGCTTTGTTGACTTTTACAGTTGTGAGTCTCAAAAACTTTGAACGTAGGAACAACTTGTTTTCTCAAGCAATGTTGCACATGTTTACACATGATTGATCAATTAGTTGCACCAAACTACTGGAGCCACTTGACCTCTGTGTGTCTTTTTAACACTCACAAGTTCAACTTAGTTTAAATAAGACCAAAGGTGACCAAGACCAAACTGTCTTCCACAAAATGAATAAAAACTTAATTCTAGGAAAATTGTGGAGCGCTTGGAAGAAAAACAGCAACGTCAAATAAAATATAAAAATGACAGAAACACACAATGAGAATTTAAAAGTTCTTATCCCTCCCCAAATAAAAGTTTAAAAAAATACTTTAATTCTGAAAAACAACATTTCAGTAGATTTTTTGCTAATACCATGAGGGATAAGGTTCTAAGATTGGGAAACTGGGTTTAGGCATCTAAGTAATTGGCTATTTAAAGGTGTGGCTCACTGAAACGCCCATTTTAAATGATTACCTCTGATTATAATCGATCACTCTAAGTTTTTCATGCAGGCCGAACATGAAAATAGTCTCCTACACCTATCCTGGCTATCTTGGCTTGCAACAGGAAACAGCAGAGGATGTCTTGACTAGGAGAAGCTAACCGTTAGCATTAGCAACTTCATCACATGGCAGAATTTCTCCAGGCTTGTGCTATTTGTGAAGATGAAACATCAGTGTTACAAGTCAGTGGTAGAGTCGTGTTGCTGTTATCCAGTCCAAGGCAAGATGTCCAATTAGGAAGCAAGACTCAGGCTCAGCTGGGATGTGGGTCACTTCCAGTTCCTAGAAATGGTGCACCTTTATAAACCTTTTCCCTCTGAAAATTACTTCAAAGGCATTCATTCCTACTACGGACTACTGTACATGTATCGAGTGTTCCACTCCTTTAAGTTTCCGTTTCAATTTGAAAAGCAACAAGATTTACATCTGACTTCACAGCTTTCTGAGGCAAAGTTGTGAAACAGCAAGCTGGAAGCAGCGGGTCATTGGTATGTTTGCACTGAAAAATAAATTATTGACAAATTATCTACCCTGGAGACTGAGATTATGACATTTTGTCATCATATTCTATGATATTTGATGAATTAGTAATTCTGCCATTATGACCTTCTGAGGAGCGGCATCGCCTGTGACGCTGTAACATTCCTGGCGAGAAGTTCAATATATTTACTAACAAACCAAACTGATGATGGCTTCAGATAAAGCCATTTTTATTCACACGTGGTTTCATGTACGCTCTTATAAAATTGGCAGATCTTCTCTTCTGCTTGGACTCCATTTTTAACAGCAGCATTTGGACATGTGTGCTTTTACAGTACTGATGTGTTTGGGCCTTTCCTTGATCCCTATCAAGCCCAGAGTAGAGGGGTTTATCCTGATATGGAAGTCTTTCCGACTTGCCGTGCTGAATGGGTGATTCCCCTCCTGGTGTGTTACGCTCCATGCTGCTGTGGATCATCTGGATTTAGTTTGATAACCTTTTGTGAATACATCAGACTCATGGCAGGAGGGAACAAGTATTTCCCTGTTATCGGCGTGGAGCTCTGATAGTTCTGATAAGATGGGTTCATTGCTCGCAGCGACTCACACAAACATATGTGGAGTTGAAAACCCTGCACACCTGACCCCACCTCAACCAGCAGATCCAGAACTTCAAAAAGTATGTGTAATCCCTGCAAGCTGCAGGTGGCCTTCCCAAAAAACTCTTCGTTCCCCCCCCCCCCCCCCCCCCCCCCCCTCCTCTCCGTCTTTTCTCTTTAGGCTCCTGGTGTGGTAACCCTAAGCTGAAACGGGGCCTGAAGCAGGGTGGAGGCAGCACCCGGTAGCTGGGATGTGTCACTTTATACTCAGCACCACGGCAGGACCAGGGGCACCTGAAAGCAGGCTGTGAGGGAGGGTAGCAGAGTGTGAGCCAGGGTAGACCAAACACAGGAGAAACAAGGACGCGTCTCCAGCAGCAGCACTGTCTAACGAGGGACTTGGGAGACACTTTCCCCCCTTGAGGCAGGGCAAACACGTAGAGACTTGGGATAACATCCCTGCTTCTCTGTAACAGGATCCCTTTGGAAAAGAGAAGGCACAATGGAAAAGGATGCTATAATGGACTACGAGTACCCAGACCTGGATCCGCTGCCTTCTATAAATCAACCAGAGTAAGTTTATTATTATTTTCATGTTTTCCTTACTTTTAGGTCAGAAAGTGGTGCAACTTTAAAGTGCAACAGCAGTCTGTATTGTTTCGTAGCCGCTCTTGAATCTTTTGTGTGCGTTTTGCTCAGAGATCCACCTCTCACTGAGATATTAGGTGACACATGGCACACTTCTACAAGGCTGGCGTCAGAGTGTGATTCTGTCTCAGATGTTTGTTGTCATGTTGATGCTATGTCACCTTCAAGTGCTTGGACAGCATGTTGCAAAGAAAACTACCTGGTTTCACCATTTAAATCATTTTACAACCGTTTGTCAAAAGCCTCCATGTAATGAGGCCACCTTACACATTTACTGTGGCTAGATTTGATCCATATTAGAGTCTAAACATGGACCTGTTTTATTAATGAAGGTGTCCCACCTCTATGCCTGGTTTAAAACTCACAAACATCCTTATAAAGATACAACGCTGTCGTAAACAATCATTTTATAACTATTCCTCTCGTGATCAGGCGTTCCTGCTCCTCTGTTGCACACAGCCGTAAGGCCTTTGTTGTTTTCTTGTGTCACGCTGATGCCAATCCTTTTAAATCCAAATCCCTGTTCTGTTCTGGGATTTCAGCCTTAAAGTTTCCAGTCAGGATTGATCCTGACATTGACATGTGAAAAGTTTAAAGAGGTGCTCTGAAGGTCAGGCTTAGGAACTTTGTATTAACGTGCATTTCTTTTCTCCCTTCATTTAGAAAAATCCCATCATGTGACCCGACTGCTGATGACATGCTTTATCACATCAGCATCACTGCAATATCTGTGAGTCATTCATGGTGCACAGTCACTTATTAGATCACTCATATCAGACTGTTTTCCTTTTGCAAGTTGTTCCTGTTCCCTTTTCCAAAACTCTGGCTTTACGTTGTGTTTTGACACATTTATTCTACATCTCTTTTTCGAACATCTGAAAAACTCAATGAACATACTATTTTGGTATGATCCCCAAAAAGTAGAGTTTTGTATATTTATTATGACTTACTTAATAAAGCAATGGTTCAGATGATCAGAAGTGGGTTTTAACAGAAAAGGATATAAACAGTAGATAACTTTCTGAATGGCCTCAGTTTGGTGAAACAGAATTGTTGACATTTGCATTTTTTAGGTAATTCCTTAGTTGTTTACATAGAATCTTATGGTTTTTTGCAACCAGACGTACTGGAAGCAGCTGCTAGCAGAGTAACTGCAATTTACATCTGATTGTAGATTTAAGGGTTTATAGATTGATGATCTGCTGGGAAAATGTTGTGATTTGAGTTTCTTCAAGTCTTCATCAGTCAGGTTTTGACCCACTTTTAATACTTTGTGCAGCTTTGTCATAGTTTTCCATCCAAACCATGCAAACTGAACGAAGTGCAAAACAAAGGTATAGTAATTAAGTCATTCAACAAGGATTAACAGGAATTTTCCCTCCAACATGACTTAAATAGAGAAAATCTTGATTGCCTATTTTGAAAAGCAAAGCTTTTCTTCCCAGCCCCGCGTTTCTTAAACATGTCACAGGTCACAACAGGTCAATGACCCCTCCCTGGTTGGTGATCCTGACTAATGGCATTCAGACAGCATCCATGGGGAGCAGTAATGAGACTGGGGTTCAGCCTTTTGTTCTGTGACACTTTTTAGGGTAAACCTGTTTAAAACCACAGCTGCATGGCGGCTCTGTCGCTGAGAATAACAGAGATGTGCTCTGTTCCTCTAGCTGGTCATCATGCTGATCCTCGCCATCTTAGCCAGACGCACGAAGGCGGGCGATAAACAGAAAGGGCTTCCAGGTTTACTCAGGTAAGACTCCTTCTTCATTACAGAAACTGCCAGGAATTCACACAACTGGTTACCAAAACAAGCTTATAGTTGGAGTAAGACGTTTAATATTTTTGTGAGTTTACCCAAAACCATTCACGGTGACCATTTGGCTTTAGAGGTGAAAACCCAACAATCAAGATGCCTGCAGTGCTTATTTGCTTAGTTGTCAGATCATAAATCAGGTGGAGACGTCAACGTTGACATTATTTTTAGCTTGGAGCCACTTTAGTTAAAGGTGTGGAAGACTGGAAAAAAAAACATTTTAAAATTATTTTCTGGCTTTAATCAGTCACTCTGAGTTGTCATGCAGGGTGAACATGAAAATAGTCTCCTACACTAATCTCCTGCATTAGCTTCTGATAGAAAATAGATGGTGACACTCTAGGATTAGAAAAGTCTCACAGATCTACATCACACTGTCACTGAACATTTAGCCTTCACCCATCCTGACTCGTGACGGCTGTTGTTGTTTTAACGCTCGCGAATCAGCAGAGAACGTCTCAGCTAGTTTAGGCTAACCATTAGCATTAGCAACTCTACCACACAGCAGAACTCCTGCAGGCTTTTGTTAATTGTTGAGATAAAACATCAACATTGCAAGTCAGTGGTAGAGTTGCGTCGCTGTTATCTAATCCGTGGTGAGATGTTCAAACATCAGGAAGTAAGACCCCAAAACCTGCTGCCTGAAGCTCAGCTGTGATTTGGGCAACTTTTAGGTCCAAGAAATAGTGCACTTGCTCAGACTAGTTGTTAGCATGTCAATCACATCTGAACATAAAATTATTATTATTATTTGAGTTCAGTTTTGTATCAAAGCACTTCGTGAATTTTACCTCTGCACAAAAACTGTTTATCTGTTAAGTCTAAAAACAACTAAGTTTTACATTCTTCTATTTGATCAGAAAGTGTCTCATTCCATTGTGAGATTTGTAACATGTGCTGCTACTGTTTTGCCTCACAGTCCGGTTAACTTCCTGGACCAGACGCAGCACAAAGGCCTAGCGGTGGCTGTGTTCGGGGTGCTGCTGTGCAAACTGTGGGGCCTGCTGGTATCGCCGAATCCCCTCCCCTTTACCACAGATGCCAAGAACAAACGTGAGCTCATCCTCCACCACTAGCATCTTCTGTCCTCTCTTGTCTTTACACAGACTGTAAATGATCTCTAGAAACAAAGCTGTTAAATAAATGTTTTGTATAATGGGATTGTGGTGTTGCAGTTTCTATTTTCGACTCAGGCCCTTGAGCAGCTTTGTGTCTGAAATTGCTCAAGAGGAGTCGGCCCCTGCTCCTTTACACAATCCTCTAAGAGTTTAACCGCTGCTGAACTGTTTGAGTTCTCAATTCGGTCATAGTTTTGTGAAGACGTTAAAGTTGGAAGATAAAAGAGAAAATGTTCACACACTCCTGCTGTGTTTGCAGAGAACTGGGTGATTCTGGGAGTGTTCTACTACCCCGCTCTGTACTACCCTCTCCTGGCATGTGGCACTTTACATAATAAAGTTGGCTACGTCCTGGGCAGCCTTTTATCGTGGACACACTTTGGTGTTTTGGTGTGGCAGAAAATAGACTGCCCCAAAACCCCACTGGTGAGTAAAATCTGCTTTAAGTTCAGTAAATGAACCCAAATTAGCTCCAGTTTGTTCATTATTCAACAGTGGGAAAGAGAAACAGACAGTTTAAGTTTGTGTTTAGTACTCCTACAGTCAGACACGTCATATGGTCTATCCGTCAGAGTTTCAGGGATTATTTCAAAGACAAAGGAAGCTTTGTTCTGATCTAGAAACCCATTGAGAACCAAACAAGGCTGGTCTGTGGTGAACGTATGAAACAGAATTTGAAAAAAATTAGTGTTGAGCATTAAAGATCTATTCAGGATCAAATTATGTCAACTGGTTCCAATAAAATTGGTTGTTTAATGATGTGGGACACTAAAAACTGATTATTTTTTTAATTAAATTTCTGATTATAATTGGTCACTGCGAGTTTTTCATGCAGGCTGAGCATGAAAATAGTCTCCTACTCCCATCTCCTGCATTAGCTTCTGATAGAAAATTGAGGGTGAAACTCTAGATGTTACAACTCCGACATGTGCTGTTAACATGTGGAGGAGGGGGTAACATAAGACACATGACAGTGGATTAAAATGGGTTTAATTGCCATAAAAGATTTTAAAACAAGCGAGCGAACAGATCGAGAGCATTATAAGAATACTGCAAGACAAAACATTCTCAGGAAGGTTAACAGTTAAAAGACAACTTACCATATGAAACACCTGATTAAAACTTTGTTAAAAGTTTCACTGAACTGAAGGTTCAACAAGGTTGATATAAGTCATAAAATCAAAACAGAGTTAACCTTAAAACGGAGTCAACTAAGTTGACATAAACCAAAGATCCCTATGGATCACGCAGAGTTAAAACTATGAAAGTTAAAACTCATCTAAACGAAGGGGTTTAAAACAACTTGAGGCCTGGAGGTCAGCAGAACCCCTGCACTGCTGCCTCCCAGACCGCTGAAGGCACAGACTTTTAATCAGGTGTGGGTCATCAGAGGGATTCAGATCAGCTGTGCTCCTCAGCAGCCTGGAAGAGAGGAGAAGGAGGGGCGGTGTCGGACTGATCTCCAGGGCTGGGTGATCCTGGCTCCTGCGTCCAAAGTGGCCAGGCTGGTGCCCAAAACACTAGGGTTTGAAAATCCTGACAGATCTATGTCACACTGTCACTTAACATTCATGGACTCACCCATCTTAACTCATGACAGGGAAGGCTGTTGCTCATACAGGAAACAGCAGAGAACGCCTCAGCTTGTAGAAGCTAACTGTTAGCATTAGCACCTTCACCACATGGCAGGAGCTCCTCCAAGCTTGTGTTATTTGTGTGGATGAAATAAAACATCAACGTAGCAAGTCAGCGATAGTTGCATTGCTGTTATACAATCCAGGGCAAGATATCCAAATATCCGGAAATCAGACTCCAACACCTGCTGTCTGAAGCTCAGTTATAAGTTGGGTCACTACTAGTTCCTAGAAATGGTGCACCGGTAAATCTCCCCCACCCCAGGCATTCACTCCTACTAGACACTACTGCAATTTTACTGATTAAACATTTGTAAATAAAAAGTAAAGACTAAAATAAATTGTTATACAATGTTATGTTAGAAGGAAATGTGCATTACTCTTAACATTAAGGCAAATAATGGAACCAGCTGACTTACCTTGGTGAAGTAAAATTCTACATTTTACTCCTTACAGTGCACATTTAGGGCTTTGTGTATTACGCAGTTCCAGAGTTTATTCCAAGTTATTATTATTTTGTTGTTCTTTCTATGAATGGTACAAAGTGAAAAGATAATGAGTTCCTGTCTTTTAGTTTCAGTGAGAGGCTCCAGTTTGAGTCAGTTAAACTGAGACACACTCTACTTATTGTGTAATGGCTGTCCATTCATATTAATGGTGGTAAAAACCTGAAGCATTTGAACTCACTCAGCATAACTAACAATAGAACATATTTAAAAGAGTAAATATAGTTTTTGTGTTTTTTTAATTAAAAACTCCCAGAACATGTTGCTGTGTGGCTTTAGGTTTCTTTTTACTCTCTTTCAGATACACAAATACTATTCCCTGTTTTCCAGCCTGCCTCAGATTGCTTGTTTGGCATTCCTTAGCTTCCAGTATCCCCTGCTTCTTTTCAAGGGCTTCAAGAGCTCTGAAACGGCCGACGCTACAGAGGTAAGGGTCAGTCTGAGAGCAGATTCCTCGCATGAGTCTTCTTCACATTGACTAGACAGCTGTAATTATTTAGTCTGCTTATGTTTCCAGAATAAATGGGTATGCTTATGTAAATGGAGGTATAGAAAAGTACTAAAGATGCACATTTTCTCAGATTCTGTGCACGTGAGGAGCCTCTTTAAGCAGCCTGCTAATCACAGAGCTTACCGTGTTCATTCAGTCTGGGCTAATGGAAAATGTAAAACCCACACCGCACACCAGTGGCACAATCATTTTAAGAAGATTTGATGTAATTGGTTTACGATATGCTATTGAGCAGATTATGAAAAGGTTACCTTGTTTTTTTCTTGCAGGAAGAGACACAATGCCGTTTTTATTTTATGCTAATCTTGGCGTGAGGGTTGAGGTCATTGCTGGAATTCCACGTCTCCCTCTCCTTCTTTTCCACCAACTTCTTGCAGAAAAAAACAACACATTTAGCCGCATTATAAGAATATTTCTTTCAAAACATTCACACAAACTTAACAAAAGTATATTTTTTCATGACCTAAATAACAGCAAAAATCATAAATTAATTAAAAGCTCTGAGTTTTTTTTTTAGGACAATCTCATTCAACCAGTTATATTAAAGGGGACACATTGTGAAAAACTAACCTTTTGCACCCTTTTGTGCTGCCCTGTGGGTCTCCACTGCCTCTATAAAGACTCCAAATTAGAACAAAAACTATCCATCCATATTTTGTCAGTGTTTGGTTTCAGGAATCATATGCCTAAAACAAACCGTTTCTAAAGGTGCCCGTTTGTGATGTCACAAATAAGAAAAATGCAACTCCAAATTTCTTTAAGGGAAAGAGCCTGGAAACAGCTCATTATGGAAGGTACTAAAAATTTCAAGAATAAAACTGCATAAACATGTTATAATTTGACCATAAAACAATTATAAAACATCACAATGTGTTCCCTTTAAAGTTTGTAATTAAACTTGCCTTTTCATTCTCTAGAGCTTGAATTTTAAAACAATCATTTGATGCAGGAGGTAACTGTAACACATTGAAATCACCTCTAAATGACATTCTTCCTTTCAGCTGCTCTGTCTGACTTTTACTCTGGCTGACCTCAGGTTTGTTTGTGTGTTGTTCTGTATTTTTCTCTCTGAGGTCACATGCAACTCAGTCTGCTTCTTTATCATGTGACTGACTCAGAATATTGAACCTCTTTACCTTTAAACCTCCAGGGTTGTTTTTCTGACTTTTGAGAAACACTTTTGATTTGGAGTTGGAGCATTTGACTACATTTCAGCAGAGATCCAGTGTCTTTCCTACATGAAAAATGTTATTTCAGAAAAAGTTTGGCAGTTTTAAAAGTTGGTTTCAGGCAATATCTCATTGGTTCTTTTCATTCTTGACTTTTACTGTGAAGTTTTCTTGCCAAGCTACCTCCTGGAGAGGTTTTCTTACTTTGTTAGATGCCGTGAAGAGTTTTATTCCTATTTCAGAGGCGATTCTGTGATCATTCACTACTGAAGTTCCCAGCAGATACCCACACATTTGCATATTTCTAAACTTGCCTGCATGATCCATTTTTTCTTTGAATCTACCCAGATCTCATTTTTTGTTGGATTATGCAGAATAAAACAAATCTTTTTCACCTGCATTAAGATGTTTTTTGACACCATGTTGAATGATCAGAGCAACACATGTTACACTTGCAATTTAACCAACAGCTTTGAAACAACTGTAGCGTAAATGGTCTAAAAACCAGATGTCTAACCCTTTACGGTGAGCCACTTGTCGGATTAGTCGCTATATCTCATTGAACTGGGGAAAAACACAGCTACTAACCAAAGGAAAAACTTCCAAATAATATGAGGATGGTTGAATAAATTATGAATGTGTGTGTATTTTATTATTACTATTCCCAGTATAACCTCAAATGAAAGAAAGCCCTGTTGTTGTTGTTATTGTTGTTGTTTTTTTTCTTGTGGGTATTTTTCATGTGAATTTCGTTGAAAATCATGTTTGTTTTGTCTTAATTGAGTTTAAATTCCTACGTGTTTGTTTTAGGATCTCAACAGCAGCTACTATGGAGACTATGTGAAGAAAATGCTCAGTGAGAAGAAATCCAGAAACATCAGGTAAAGGAGAATTATTACTTTATATTTTTGTTTGTTATAATTCTGTTCCCACATAGTTGAGTCCCCCAGAGGGAGCATGTAGAGATTGAAGAGCAGTGGTCTAAGAATTGAGCCTTGTGGTACCCCACATGTCGTGGTGATCAGCTTTGATTTGTGATCACCAATAGAGACAACATAACCCCTGTCTTTAAGATCTGATTGGAACCAACTATGGACTGTGCCTGAAAGTCCCCTCCAGGTTATGAGCCTATCAAGAAGGATGTTGTGGTCCACTGTAACAAAAGCGACTGACATCATGCATCATCAGAACAGATGATTAGCCTGAATCTGTACTGACACAAATATCATTTAACACCTTAATCAGGGCTGTCTCGGTGCTGTGGAGGAGGTTGTATGTCTCCAAAGTAATAGTTCAGCTGGATCATAACTGTCTGCTTTTTAAACAACTTTCACAATGAAAAGGAAATTAGAGATTGGTCTGTTTGTCTAACTCTTTTATTTTTAACCTTTAGCACATCGAGTGCAGACAAACCGAAACTCAGTCAGAGAGTACGTGATGCTGTGAAGTCGTACGTTTACACACCAGAAGATGGTACATATGGTTTTTAATCCAAAACAAATAATTTAAGTAAAGATGGTAAACAGTACGTAAATATAAAGTAGGGGAAAAACTCATGAAATTTGACTTGATTTTTGATTAAAAGTTGTACTGTGGTTTTTCGCCATGTAAACACAAGATTTACTTTTGTCTTCATTGATCTTTTTTCATTTCCAACAGCTTTTCGTTTCCCTTTGAAGTTGGCGATCTCATGTGTTGTATCGTTTATAACCCTGTATCAGGTAACTATCATATTTATCATACTGCCGCCACCAACCAGTGAATAATATAAGAACAATAATGAAATATATAAGGGCTTTTAAATCTACAATTATGAGTAAATCAGCTATTTTTTCTGATCACAATGAAAAAAAGCTGTTTATTACATTTTTGACCGCAGTCAAACAAAAGTGGTTGGACTATTGCTGCTAAAGTCTAGCAGAGTTTGTGTAATAAATTAAGTTTCTTTTTTCTCAGATGGGTCTAGTGTTGATTTCATTAGTGGTGCCAACCATCCAGACCGCCCGGTACGGAGTCGATGAGGATATAGCAAATGTTTTAGCCGGTTTCCAGATTATTTTGTCTCCAGACAAACGGGAGGTTGTGAGGATTGTGGTTTATTACATGTGGTGTGTGGAAGGTGAGTACAACCAGATGTTTTAGATGAACCAGAGGTTTTAGCAGCTGCAAACTCTCTGAATCCATCGTGTGCTGATCTCCCTGCAGTGTGCTACATCTCAGCGATGACTCTGTCTAGTCTGGTTAACTTAGTTCTGCTCATGCACTCCATGGTCCTTCATCGGTAAGTCTGTTCTTTCCTGTTTTCTTTCCACAGTGTCTAATTATTGTAACTTTACTATGCATTCTAGTTTATAATGTCATGTTCTGTGTCCCCGTGGTCCCCAGCCCCCTCCAGGTGTCCCCTCAGGTTCTGTGTCCTTGTAGTCCCCGGCCCTTTTTGTTCCCCAGCTCTCTCCAGGTTTTCCTCATGTTCTTCTGGTCTCTCCACTGTAGTTTTCTATAGTTTTATGATTTCAGTTCTTTAGTCTCCTTCAGTGTGTGTGTTCCCTTCCCCACTTCAGATCATTTGTTTACTTATTAGTTTTCCTGGTGTCTTTGTTTCTACAGTGTTTAAAGTTCAGGTCATTTTAGTAGCTTTGGTGATGTGGTTTTCTCCACTGCTTATTTCTGCTTCTTCCCTCAGTTCATTAGTTTCACCTGTGCCCAATTCCCCACGCACCTGCTGCTCGTCTCCTATCACCCAGCCCTGTGTATATAACCCTGTCTTTGTCGGCCCATTGTCTTGTGTCAGCGTTGCTTTGTCCTCTAGAGAACTATAGATTCTGGCTCATGAGTGAGCTTTTGTTTTTGTCTTTTTGGCTGAGAGTCCTGCAGCTTTTGTTTGTCTGTTTTTCATCATCATAATAAAAGGATTTTTTATTTAATACAACCTCTCCTGCCTTGAGTTGTGTGGTGATCTGCATCTTAGGTCCAATCCTCCTGCGCTCGCAGCGTGACATATAAACAATAATTTCAGGGTTTTAATGATGCCTTAACATTACACTCTTATCAGTGCTACAATTAAAATAATCTGTTAAGATTAGAAACAATTTGTTTGCATAAAGAACGCTGTATTAAAAAGGGGGTTTGCAAATTAATTTGATTTGCATACTGAATTCCCCTAAATAAGCCAGTTTACTATCAGTTTCAATGTTTAGCAGCAAAACTGTTTATTTTGACTTTATTTTGTCCTGTTTAGGTCAAATCTGAAGGGGCTTTACCGAGGAGACATTTTTAATGTTTATAACTGCCAGCGGAGCCTGAGAGCGTCCAGGCCGGCGCTGGTCTGCTGGATGGGATACACCAGTTTCACAGCAGCTCACATCTGTATCGGTACAAAAACAATTCAACAGTAAAGGAAAAGTAGCCATTTCACCTTTTTATGTGCTGCTGCCATCATAAACGACTCCACTCAAACAGATTGCACCAAAGAGCAGACTGTCTGCTTCTAGAAGAAACGGAGTGTGTTGAAATAAAAGGTTAAACTGTTGAAGCTGTGATCTTTGCCTTGCAGGAATGATCATCCAGACGTTCGTGTTCTTCCTCTGCCTTCTGATCACTGTCTTCCTCGTAATCATCCCCATCTTGCAGAGGCAGAATCTGATTGTCTTCCACATCCTCTGGAGCATGTGGTAAGCGTAACCGTAACGCTTCACTGTTGCATTTCTGTCCTGTAAAACTCTCACTTGAAATGTAGATTAGTGAGAGTTTACTACATATTTTTTATTTGGCTCTGTTGACGTTTCAAGGATTTTTCTGTCAACAACACATTAAATGTCCAAATTCGTAGAAATAAATCTGATTTGCAAAACTTCGTGTCAGCTACAAACTGGTTTCATGTTTCCTGTCTGACCTTTTTCCTTGTATAACAACAGGAAATTGTTGATTTTGACGTATTTATTTGCTTTTTGCTCCTTTAGGCCCTTCTGGCTGATGATCCTCCTGGCTGTGTTGTTTCAGCACATCACTGCCAGGTTTTGCTTCATCAAGAAAACAGCTGGCACCCATGACTTAAACAACAGGTGAGTTCCTTTAAACAATGCACACGTTCTACCTACTTTCATCCGTCGGCACTCAAGCTCCAGGGTCACCGATGACCAGACCATGAGAATGGTTTCTGATGCACTAAAAGGTTGTAAATCTCCCCTCTGACTCCTGTAAAGGAACTCTGAGGAGTTTCCTGGTCAGCAGTGGGATATGATGTTTCCAGTAAAGCCTGGGATTGTCCCAAAGTCTCTCCATGGTGGGACATGTTTGAAACACCTCCTTTAGAAGTTGTCCAGAGGGACTTCTCACCAAATGTTCAAATGGTTATTTTTGATACAGAGAAGCAGTGGCTCTACTCTGAGCTTGGACTACTTGTAATCACAGTCTTGTTCTTTCATTCATGACCAGAATCTTGCAGTTGGAGGTTGGAACATTGATCTCTTCATCATATGGATCTGATCAGCATCCCTGTCAATGCTGACCTGATCCATCTCGTCTCCATCCTACCATTGCTTCTGAGCAAAATAATACCTTACTGGGGCAGTGAGTCATTCAGCCTGGAGGGGGAGATCCACCTTTTTCTGGTTGAAGACCTTGACGTCCAGTCCAGTCTCTGTTGGAGGTCTTAGCTCATTAAAGGCATCAGGACCACAGCATCTACATCTATGTTATGACCCTAACTCTAACCGTAACCCTAATCCTTAGTCTGCATCAAATCTGAGTGTTTACATCCTAAATGTTTTGTGTTTCAGAGGTAATCTGTTCCTGCTGACTTACCTGCTGTTTCCTGTCAATGTTCTGATCGGGGTTCTGTTGGCTCTGTGGCGTCTGATCATCACAGCTCTGTTCAACATTGTCCACATGGGGCGTTTGGATATCAGTCTCCTTAATCGTAATGTGGAAGCTTTTGACCCAGGTGAGTCACCAGACTTAGCGAACCAACCCTTCTGATTAATAAAAGCTTGAGACTGTCGTTCGTGCTTTTATTACGCCGCGCCTCGACCACTGCAACTCTGTCTTATTTGGTGTGAGTAAGGGTACCGTAGCTCGACTGCAGCTTGTCCAGAATGCTGCAGCAAGATTCTTGGATGGCAAAAGAAAGTATGAGCAGGTGACACCAATCTTGGCTGCTCTCCATTGGTTACCTGTCAATTTCAGAATTAATTTTAAACTTATTTTAATGGTGTTTAAGTGAATGGTTTGGTCCCTGCCTATTTGACGGAGTTCCAAGAATCAGCTGCTGCTTGTGGTTCCAACGGCTCGGCTGAAGTCAAGAGGTGATAGGGCGTTCTCTGTAGCTTTTACGGTCTGTGGGTTAGCCATTGTTGATGTCTTACATGCTCTTATCTTGTCGTCTGAACTTGTTGGTTTCATCTGTTTTATTCTATGATGCACAGCACCTTGGTGGCGCGCTCCTGCCTGTAAGGTGCTTTATAAACAAAGGCTGAGTTGAGTTAAGTGGGTTTGGCAGCAACAAAAACCTTACTTGTGATCATTATATTAAAAATAAACAAGCATCAAAAGTAACTCTGTAGCTCAATCCTGACTCTGATGCACATGTTTGTGTTTTTTTTTGTTGTGTTCACAGATGAATGATTTTAATGAGAACTAGCAGCAAGCTTTCATGCTTATTCAGGGACAGCTTTTGCATAGAAAACTGGGACTTGTTATCCCAGTTAAAAGCTAAATATTGTCATCCTAGCCACACTAATGCTCTGCCTACTTACTGCAGCTGGTACGATATCTGTATTCTAGTGCAGGGACACTAATTGCACACCGATTCCTGAAAAGGCTGCAGAATTAAGACATCTGGTGTCCGGAAAAGCAGGTGGCAGAAAAAAAAAGAGAGAGGTGATTGTACAGTCATTATGTGTGATTGCCTCAAAGCCACTGTGGGGTGCAGTGCGACGTGTTTTATTGCTTTTGCCCTGTCAGAGAGAGACCCCCTGTCTGTGTTTGTCTCCAGCCTACCGCTGCTATGCTCATTATCTGAAGATTGAGGTGAGCCAGTCTCATCCTGTGATGAAAGCCTTCTGTGGGATGCTGCTACAGTCTGCAGGCCAGGAAAGCAAAGCTGCACAGAGGTCACGGGACGCTGAAGAGGGTCTGTAGCACGAAATCCATTCCACACTATAAACAGTTGATTCAGAGGGAACATTATGCATAAATTAACATTTATTTTAATTGCTAATTACACACAGTCAGAGCTCATTTTATGTATTTGAACATTAATTAAGCCTCATAGTTTTGAGGAATTAGCTGTCATGGCAACCCAGCATTTGTTAGACGTGAACATTTTATAATAAGGAACGATCCAGGAAGAAGTGGAACCCAACTATGTTTTACATTGTTATTTTAGCCATTGTGAACTGAGTTTTGTGTGCAATTTATAAATAATTACCTTATTGTTGCATCCTGAACAGCCTCTGTTTGGAGAAATAGAGCCTAAATCTGGTGTCTGCAACCAGAACAATTGTTACCATCTCTGCCTCTAAATGTACATGAACCCTACAGTTAAGGCAAAATGTTTTTATTTTATTTTATTGTTTGTTTGTTTGTTTTTTAAGTATTTGGCAAATGTTTTGCATATTTTGCATAAGAACAAATGCAGATATTTCAGTCCAAGTAGGAAGTGAGTAACCAAATAATGAGCTTCAAAATTAAATCATCACCATTTATTGTATTTTTACGAAATATTCCTGCAGGTTCTACTCATTTTTGCACCAAAATACTTGTAAGCTGTGCATTTGTTATGATTATTATGTCCTAATAAGTTATGGTAAACACCTGAGGTCACAAAGCTCAACCTATGGGCCCGGCTGCTCTGCCAGCAGGGCCAATACTATTTACCAGGGGAGTTGTTTGGACATCATTGCAGCTCAAACGGCTGCAGGCACCCCACACGTTTTACATCAAAACAACTGACTCGGCCGTGGGAAGTGTGCTGTTTCTTTACTAAGTGATCAAATTCAACATGGCAAAAATTATTAGCAAAAAACATTGAAAAAGTTTTGAGTGTGTGCATGTCTCAATCTGCCAGGCCAGATCTTGGCCAATTGCATCAGGGGCAGCTTGAGCAGCAGTGTGCACCCCCACAAATAATACGTCAAAACGAGCGGTTCGGCCGTGTGAGGTGTGCTGTTTCTTTTCTTACCCGATTTACCATGGCAAATTATTTGATCAATTAGATGGCAGACCTTTTAAAGAGGCATCTTTTACAAGTCAGCAAACACAGCCACACAATATTCCTTATTGTCAGTGGTACACATGATGTCATTTAGCACTTTAAGCGTTGTAGAGACACATCCGTGGACAGCTCCGACACTGGACTGCATGGGGGTAATAATACTGCTGGATTCCAGATAGTGAGTTAGCTGTTTGTTGACTAACTTTTCAATGACTTTAGAGAGGCAAGGCAAGATAGAGATAGGCCTATAACAGCTTAGGTCTGATTGATCTCCCCTTTATAATGTGGTGTAACAGATGCAAATTTCCAGTCCTGCAGAAATGCACCAGTTCTTATGGACGGATTAAATAGATGGGTAATAGGTGCGGTAATAACACGTGCTGCTATTTTCAGAAAGAAAGGGTCAAGAGTATCCAGTCCGGCTGAACCCTTTTAGTACTGCCATAATGTAATAACAGAAAAAACAAAAATCTGATTTGATTTTTCTTCAGAAATTATGGATAGAAAATACAAATGTACATGAATAAAAAATCTGAAATAGCATAAATGTAACCTAACATGTATTACAACCTTGTATTGATTTTTTAATATGTACAACTTTCAGTGTCTGACTTTCAGGTGATTTTGTCTGTCAATGTGCAGGCGTTTTTAGCTGCTGTGGTCTTCTGCAGAGCAATTCCTGTCCTGCTGCAGACAAAACCCTTTCTTGCACTCTTAGCACATCCAGGGAGGGTTTTTTCTGCTCTGAGTGTACCTGTTTCATCCATGAGGGGAAGCTGATAGCCAGGGGTTCTTGGGGATAAATCTGGGTGGCATGGGTCGACAGTACCTGGGTTTGTCTTTGTTGTCCAGGAGTCCAGAAGATGTGGAGCATCTCCAGCAAGATCTTGTCTCTGACATTGCTTGTTGCTGGTGATGGTGGATGATTCTTCATCAGAAGAAACTCTAAAATTAAAAATATGTCAAATTATATAACATTCATTCAAGCAGTAAATACTGTCAAATGAAAACTGACTAAAATAAAATACAGAACTAAAGCTAGAAATATATTTGAACTGTAGATTTTTATTTCTTCTTCCGGCTCTTGGAGAGTACAGACGCCTTTTTGTCCTCTCCCTACCTCCTTATCCCAAGGCTCTTTGGCCTGTCTTGTGTGCACGGCACTTTCTGCATTTTTCTGGAAACTGGAAATTATTAAAAATGGACCTTGTCAGTTGGTCTCAACGCGATTGACAAAAATTTTTCAACGATGAGAACGGGAGAAGGGGCTCCCGGATGCCCCTCTGGGACAGAGCCAGCTGGGAATATCATGGACTCCTGGAAACAGTGGAACCTGATATGCCTCTCTCAAATGTCCGTAGAGGATTCTGAAGATGTTTGGATGTTCGTCGTTTTGGTGTCGGGATTCCTGCTGTTTGGCCTGAGCAGTTACCTACTTACCGGAAAATTAACAAGCTTTTGAGGAATATTGGCTCAATCCTGGAGCTCAGGGATGGGATGCATTGTGCTGTGAATGCACAAACTCATATAATTGTTGAGACGAGTTGTAAGCTTGGAACTTTGGCTGAGATTCAGGCTCTGGCACAGAAGGTGGATTCCATCAAGGATCGAGTTGACGGATCAACACGAATTGGGATGGATTAATTACGCCATTATTGGATCTAGAGGGGTTGTAGACCAACAAAACTCTAAGGCAGAGAGGAAATTATTTCTGTCTGTCCCCAAAACAATTTTTATCTGAATCTGGTGCCCTTGGAGCCTGTGAGGCTGAAGTAATAACTCCCCCTTCAGAAGAAATGTGGAATGCTGCAGTCGCTATGGAAACTCTTTCTCCCTATCCCAGCCTGGCTGGGACTGTGACAGGTGAAGGCCGTGGAACCGCATCTAGGAGTCAATGTGCCCTCTAACCCATCATCTCCCTCCCCTGTCCAAACGGAGGTGATGAGCATTGCTCCATGCGGCTGCAGGCACTGAAGTGAGGAGAGTCCCAACCCTACCTCCCCACCTAGTGGACACTTATGTTGTGTAATGTCTGAAGTCTGTGGCATTTCTGTCTGAGGTGTTTTCTGCATAGCAAAGCTGCCCTCTCTGTTGAGGGTAACTCTGAAGTGCCTTTTTTCCCTCCCCCTGACTCTATCCTCATATAAACCCTCTTGATCTATTACGGTAGCGCAGCTCTAATTTCCCTCTGGGATTAATAAAGTATTTTTGAATTGAATTGAATTGAATAAACTCACTGCAGCTGTGATGGGAAATCCTCTTCACTCACACCTGAATCCTCAACCACAGATGTCCATGGAGGTTTTGTTTTCCTGTAAGTAGCAGTAGTAGTATAATAGTATAGTAATAGTATTATCAGAAATACTAGACAACAAAAACTGGAACGTGTTTAGTAGAAAATATTTAGTGCAGAGATACTTACTGCATTTGTGATGGAAAAACGATGTAGGCACATCTTGCTCCTCATCAACAAATCTTGAGGGAAATTTCCTCTTTCTAGAAGATTTCCTGATTTCTTTCATTATTTAGAAAAACAAATCTAACATAAAATAATAATAAGCCTCCATGAAAAACGCAGCTGAAAAAAAAAACGAAAACAAACACGGCGAAACAAAGTTAAAAATGACTCAGTATATCCTAAAATTACTATATACAAACATAAAGTAAGATATTTACCGAAAATATTTATTATTTATATCAGTAGAAGAGATAGAAGTTGAAAATACACGTTGAAAACAATTCTTCCGCTCCTCGAGGAAGTGTGATCATTTCCTGGTTCTTGGGCAGGGACTTGTGTAACATTACCGTAATGTGTTGTATACCACTGGAAAGCGTCGAGGCTCAGCTTTCAGAATCCGTTGGAATTACGTTGATTGCATAAACAGTTGGAAGTGTTACGGTAGTTCAAAGTATGGAAGCCGTTTTGTGTCGGCACCGACACAACCGCAGTAGAAGCATTAAAGGCTGTGATATACTTGCTATTTAATGACTCAAATGTGTGTTTAAGATTTTGTTCACTTGAAGCGTTGTTTGTGTTGACATTAACACAATGCATCCAGTCTTTCACAACCTCTACGGTACAGCTGTCATCTTTTCTTCTGTTGTGATCTCCAAATTAACCAGTTGGTGAGCTCTTTTATTGATACCATGTTTGTTTTGGTTGTACCCACAAACCCGGCTCTCTATCTGGTCTGATTAGTCTAGTGCGCCCCCTATTGGAACACTTTAGTACTACACGCAGTGCCATTTAGCAGCAAGTAGGTGAGCGAAGCCCCAGCCTGCTGCCTGCGCCAATGCGGGATTAAACAGCAAGTATACCTAACCCTAACCATGAGGATCTAACCTAGGTAACTCGTCAAGTACCTCATTTACTTGAAAAAACTGAATGGAGATACAGGAGATGGAGAAACATCCTTTTGGTCTCTGTTTCTATGAACAGAGGCTGTTCAGGGAGCTATCTAAAAAAAAGTAGGACTTATTTCTTACACAGAAACACACTTCTAAACGGCAGAAATCTCACTTTAAAATTAATGGTAGCTTAATTTTCTCATCAAATTCAGGGTGGGATCTAATTTTCTCCAATATCAGATCGCCATGACACATAATCAGATCATAAAATGGTCCTGCACGCTCATGCGATGAGGAGCTTCACAGCTCTAATTCAATGTGCCCAGAACAAATTGAGTTTCACTGTGGAATAATTTACAGTCCTGCTGCTAGTCTCAATCAAATCTGCCATGAATAAATCAGCTGCCCTTATTGCACCAAGCTTTGGCCTCTGTCACCAAAAATGCACAGAAGCTGCTGCTAAAGGTTTTATTTCACTCGCACAGACGAGTACAAAGCATCTGTTAAATTACTCCAGGTGTGAGGAGCACAAACAGGAGGAGAGCGGTGTCCGCCCACGCTCACGGTGACAGAAGGACATAGATTAGAGCTGTGGAATGCACATGCGGCTGAGAATATACACGTGTTGTCTGTTTACACCCAGAGAACAACGCATTATCAAGAATCCTCTATTGTTTTACACAGATTACTTCTTCAGCCACTGATTACACAGATGAGCTACACTAATTGCCTGTTACATATTCATGGTGCCCAAGAGGTTTGGGTTTTTAGAGTGTTAATGACAAGCCAACATGCTCCCATCACGCTTAGAGGATTAAAAATAAGATTGTTTTCTATTATTACTCCTTTCTGTAGTATTGCTGCTCCTGAGTGGCCTATAAAAGAGACTTGCCACTATTTTCACTCCCAAAAGGTTAATCATCATCATGTCTGAATGTCCTCAGGGATCCAGCTCGTCCAGCAGGAGAAGAAACAGAGCAAACTGTCAGGCGCCAAGCGTGCCCGCAGGCGCTGGCAGCTCCTCTACACGCTGGTCAACAACCCCTCCCTGGTAGGCACCAGGAAGCACTTCCAGGCAGCAGAGAGTTTCCTGAATGGAAGCTTCAACCGCAAGAACAAGGACAGCAAAAAGGAGGCAGAAGCTGCTGCTGGTAACTGAGTCTGCAGAAACTGGTTTGGTTTGGGTTGCATCCTGCAGAAGATGTGTCTGCATTTGAAAAAAAAAGTGCATTAAAGCTATGAGTTTTTCCTGTTTTCCTTGGGGTGATGAGACTTCTTTTGCTGCACAATCTGGTGACGCTTAAAGTCAGCAGAATGTGTGCTTATGTTGGGTTAGATAAAACCTGCACACGATTCTGCCTAGATTAATCCTATAGTGCTGAAAATGCTCCTTAGCTTCCAAACTAAACCCATGAATGATAATTCCTTTAAAAGAGGTTATTTATATAGAGAAAGAGAAATATTAAGAGAACTATTTATGAAACTGAGTTGTTTGAATAGAAAATTTGTCTTGTTTTTCTTCTTTGTTTATTTAGTGTGATGCAGGATGTTTTCTTATTATTCTGTACCTGTGGAGGAGCTTAATCGTTTTTCTAATCTGAAACCACTTGCTGCAACCAGCCTTGTTTCTTTTGTTGTCCAGATGTTTTCCCCCTGATCTCTTCTCATTGTTTCATTTTAATTTCTGATTGTTACATCAAAATGGAAAATTCTGATTTTTAAAAAAAATACTATCACTGTGAAAATAAAACAAATAGTAAATGTTCATCTTCCTTTTTAGGCATAAAAATTGTTGTGTGATATTTTGTCCAATTTAAATAGGTTAGAAGGCAAAAAACAACATCATGTTCTCATTTAAATAATTAAATTTATGTTTTAAAAAATGATCTATTTAGATTTTGCTTTCAAACGCAGCATTTTTATTAGCTTTCTGAATGAAATCTCATTATTATTGGTGCTAAATAATTGATAAGAAATAACTATTCACAGGCTTGTATTAACACATTTGTGTTATAAAAATGTCTCCGTTTTTAGAGCGGAATCAGACTTATCCATTTATTCAAGACAAATCCAGACTTTCTTTTCATAATGTTTTATTAATTCCACTTACATAAATTTATATCAAAAAATCTTAAAAGGTTACGTTGTTTGTTCTCATTTTACAACAAGGTTCACAAAAACTTACTATATTCAACAAATTACAAGACAGTGACGCCGCCAGACGCGCGCTGCGTCTCTTTTTCCTTGAATATTTCACCCAAACGCACCGTCGTTAATAAAAGAATAAATGTAATTCGTTGGGATTTACATCACAGACAGACAATCACGTCTAAAAGCCCTACAGACTAACACACACTAAAAACCACCCAAGAAAACACGCGTGACATGCCAAGGACATGTTCGTTGTAAAAAACGAATACAGCAAGCACCCGTCGGTTCACACGCAAAAGTCACACATTTTAAAGCATTGACAAACGTTGTTGGTAAATAACTTGGCATTTTTGTTCCCATCAAGCACAAAACAGCTGAAATCTGATTTGTTTTGTTTTGGAGCGGAGAGTGCGCTCCTGTACTCAGCGCGCGCGCGCTTTATTCCGGGAAACCTGAGAGGATGTTAAAACTCCCGCAGCCACGCGCGGCTCGGAGAGAGAGACTGGTCCCTGACGGCGGTTAAAATAAAACGGATTTTTAAAATATGGCACTTATTCGGTTGTTGTTATGCTCCCGGAGAGGCGGTTTGAACATTTTACAGCTCTCTCTGCGCCGTGAGTGTGTGTGTGTGTGTGTGTGTGCGCGCGCGCGCGTGTGATAAGCTGCTTGTGCTTGTTCTGTAAACGTTTTTACCAACATGATTTCATTCTCAGTGACTTGTTGAGGTAAATAAAATGGAAACGATCCACCTTTTATGTTTTTATTTTTCTCGTGTGATGACGTGTGAGTTACCTGCTTTAATAGGCTACTTAAAGTAAAGTATGTTACAGTAAACCGGAAGTGGCGGTCTGTGGAGCTCAGCGGCTGGGCTGCTTGTAGTTCCCGTTGATTTCCTCCGAGATGTTCACGGCCTCCGCTCCCAGTGGTAACCGGTCGCTGTACTCGGACCCCACCTCAAACTCCTCCTGATTGGTTTTGGATGAAGATCCGGGGATGGAGTCGGTCACCACGCTCCCCTCAGCTTCCCCCACCATGTCCCCTTCTTGTCCCTCTGCCTCCTCCTCCTCACCACCATCGCCCAACTCGCTGGGGTCAAAGGTTTTCTCTGACTCCACCAAAGACGCCCTGGGATTGAAATCTTTCATTTGTTTCTCCATCTGATCCAGATTCTGAGTCTTCATGATCAGCTTGTAGGTCTTTCCTTGGTACTTGTATAATAAATGGCAGCAGGTGGCTCCCAGCAGGGGAACGGTGGCCAAGCCCAATAGAAAAATGCTGACAATCACAATGATGAGGAGGGAGGGGATCTTCTTCCTAGTCGTGAAGACCACTTGGACTTGGCAGTCCTGTCCCCCATAAGTGAGACAAAGTGTGTAATTTGTGCCAGGCTGTAAACCGTGGAAGCGGTAGGCGTTAACCCCTTCCTCTATGTTGGACCACTGAACCAAGGAGTGTCCATTTCCTGTGTTTATGCAGAGGTAGAGCATGTCCGGGGTGTCCTTACTCAAAGAGGACTGCAACAGACCCACAGGCTCTTTATTCACCATTTCCTGGTTTTCACTGTGGCTGAGATGCAGGTTTGATTTGCTGTTGGGGAGCTGCAGTGGGTTCAGCTGCACTTTAGCTTCCGTTTCTGATACTTCTAATGCAATAACACCAAAATCAAAGGTGTACTGCTTCAGATCGTCCAGCGTCATGTTGAAAGCGTGGTTGGAGATATACTCACTGCCGTCCCTTACGCCACACTTGCTTGCAAAGGCGGAGCCCTTTACAGTCCCTCCAGCTTGCTCGGCTTTGTCCTTCGAGCCCTCTGTGCTGTCCTTTGTCTTTTCTTCTTGCTTGGCCCAGTTGATCACATTGTTTTTTGTGTTTTTAGGGTCTTCAGGTTTTTTCCCCGACGGACGAATCTTCTCCATGGTTGAATCAGATGTTGAACCCTTGCCTTGCTTTGAGGTGAAAGCCAGGGATAGTTTAACGCCACTCTCTGCCTTACCCAACTCATTCTCTGCAGAGCAGCTGTAGTTTCCATCTTCCTTTTTACTCATACGAGGGATAATAAGGGTTCCGTTTCTGAAGACAAGAAACCTGCTGTTGGTGGTCTTATCGTTGATTGGCACATCACTTGTTTCTCCGGTGGATGGCAGGGGGAACAGAAAATTCTGATTCCCTGCAGCCACCTCCCAACTGACGTGTGGTTTGGGGCTCCCTTTTGTGTCACAGTTTAGGATGACCGAAGCACCTTCATAAAGGATTGAGTTCTCTATGTTTGGGTGGTACGTTATGGTGACAATGGGAGCTTCACAATGCAGTTTAGGAATGTTTGCAACCAACACCCCTTTCAGATGCTCAGGAGTTTCACACTGGATTAAATTGGGATCTGGCACAGAAATTTTTGTTGTGGCAATCCAATCCCTAAGCCACTCCAGGTTGCAGGAGCAGGTGAATGGGTTGCTGAAGATCTGCAGGTGGGACATGGAAGAGAGGGCACTGAAGGTTCCCTCCACGATGGTGGTGAACTTGTTGTTGTTGATGCGGAGTGATCTCAGGTCCTTAAGGGTGGAAAAGGCGTTTTTTGGAAGGTTCACCATCTCATTGTTGTTCATCTTCAGAAGCTGCAGAGCTGTGAGGTTCTGCAGATCCTCCCATGGGAAGTTGACTATTTTGTTGTTGCTTATGTCCAGGTTTCGAAGCTGAATCAAGGGGGCCAAGGTGTTGGTCTCTATAGCGACAATCTTATTATGAGCCAGCCAGAGAGAGGTGACCTGGGTGATATTAACAAAACTTTTACTTTTTAGAGTCTCAATCTTGTTGGCTGAAAGGCTGACGGTGGTACTGTCTGATGGGAGACCAACAGGTACCTCCAGCAGCTCTTTGTAAGCACAATCAGCAAACTTTTGGGAAAATTTATCCTGGCAGCTGCAGAGCGACGGGCAGCTCTGCACCACTCCGATCACAACTGTCCACAAGGCAAGAAGCTGCAGGAGCCTTCTTTCCATTTTCTGCAAAGACCAGTCAGCAAACATTAGAGAAGAAATATTAGAAATTAAAATGTTTATTAGTCCGTTTTATCTTATCTGATTGCAAATAAAAACGTAAATAATGAAACTAAAGAATATAAATGTTTCTAAAGTTTAAGATGAATTTGATAAAGTATTAAGATTTATTTGTTTATTATTAAATATGAACTGTGTTTAATCTAAGGAATCATTTATAGGTCAAATGGATCCGGTTCTGGTGAACGGGCGCTGTCCGTGGTGCTGAAGCCACTTTTCTCCTCTCGTGTTACTAAAACACATAAACTAGAAGGTTTTGCACTTTGCCCTAATCTTTAGAGTGATTTTAGATTAGGAAACTGAATACTTAAATCACCTTACCTCTTTAGTGTGAACTTTGATTCCTGCCCTTTTTCTTGGAGTTTAAAGTCCTCAAGTTTCTTTAAGTTTTATTGGTCGAAGGAGCTGAATTCGGTGCACGAGGCAAGTCCGTTCATGGGGTTTGTGCTGGACTGGACAGCGCTGCAGAGCGACGGCGGCAGGAACATTTTCCCGGTGAATTGTTGTCGAGGTCCGTCGGCGCTTTTTTCCTCTCCAGCGAGTGAAGGAGCCACTGCGCGCTCCCGCCGCTGCGGAGCCAGAAAAGGAAACATGAACGCGCAGCCTCTCCCATCTTTCTCCTCACTATTAAAGATACAGACGCTCCAGCTCCTCCGCCCTCAAAGAAGATTCATAATTTAGGATCCGATATTTAATTCATCACTCCGACCTGATGTCTGACCTCATTCAGTCTGCCTACAGCTCTTTGGTTTATATAAACTCATCAGCTAAAGTTTATAGGATACATTCAGATTCAAAACAGCCGATTGGGTAAACGATTTATCAATTTAATAAAAATACAAAAAGAAGCTTTGAGAAAATATGTTTAAGTGCCTTGTTTGTATATGAATTACCATTGTGGTGTAAAATAAATAAATAAATAAAAATAAATAAATAAATAATAAATAAAATTTGTTTGCTTTTCGCTAAAAGTGTAATGTATTGCTCCAAACCTGTCTTGTCTATCAGTGCATGTACTTTAACTATTAACCACCAAATACTTTAAGGTTGTTACTTCTTCATTTTAATAACATTTATATTACTAGACACAATTGTTTATGAGTAATCCTTAATCATTTGACTCAGTCAGCAGCAGAGCTATTTTCTGTTCCAATGCTGCCCCCTCCTGGTGTTTGACATTAATTACAATTCCTACAGAATTCACGTTTTATTTATTTTTATTTTTATTTTAGCCAAGCCAGCTTTATTTGTATAGCATCTTCAACAGTATGAAACTAACCAAAATGCGTCACATAATTAAAATACATTTTAAAAAACATACACACAACAATACACAACATAAAAATACAGAAAAAACTAAAACTAACTAAAAGACTCTCATGTTGATTTAAAGGCAAAACACCAAAATGGGTTTTCAAAAGAGATTTAAAATGGAAAAGATGCTTTAAAGTGCAAATGCAGCACCTTCCAAAGTCTAGGGGCTGCTCCTGAAAAAAAAGCTCTGTCATCTTTGAGCTTACGAATCGCTTTGGCACTTCCAGGAGCAGCCAATCAGCCAACCTCAGAGACTGTGCAGGGGAGTGAAGAGGGCGTAGGTCCGCAAGACAAATTGGAGCAAGGCCATGTAGAGATTTAAATCAAACAGGTAACAAGTGCAGTGAGGTCAAGGCAGGAGTAATATGCTCCATCTTTCTCGTCCCAGTGAGCAGAAGTACAGCCACATTCTGCATCGACGGGAGAGGTGGGACTGTTAAACACCAATGTTCTTTACCATGGTGTTCCTTCTTAGTTGATAAAAACTAGATTTAGTATATACTTTGGTGGATTTAGAATAAAGTTAAGGGGATTCCTGCGCGTCCTCCACTGGTAAATCCCTGGAAATGTCAGAACATGAATGCAACAAGCAACTGTCACTTTGAACAAAATCAGCTCGATGAAGAATTTCCAAGTTTGGGCAAAAATAAAGTAACAAAAAACAGTTTGTGACACCCAAAAATCTAGCATCATTCATTTCTGCTCAAGCTACGGCTCAAGCAGGAGAAATCTGTGAAAGATCAGGAACAACCGACACAGAACTCTTCCTGAGGGCAAAGTAGAGGCGACGACTCTTCTAACCCCAGTCCATCCTGAAGCATGTGCAGCTGCAGAAACCTGTAAAGGTCAAGTTACCTTATAAGTGGTCTTAAAGTGCTTTTTGTAGTGAACGGTGAATTGAAATGATGGCACTTTTATTGGGCTGTGGTTGATAACTGTTTTGTGTTTTTGTCTTCACATACAGTAATTGAATTTGGCAAAGGACCCCAGAAAGAGTAGTTGTCAAGTTTATTTGATGACTAACGGGGATCCAAATAAATAAATAAGAAAACAAATAAATATGATCATTTTGTGGTAGTTGTTGCTTCTTCGTATTCTTAAATCTTGCACATTTACAAACCTATGAGCCCCTCTGGAATCTCCCTGCTAATCCTACACACACAAACAAAAGAAAATCTAAACTAAATTACCCTAAAAACATCTTTCATTTATTATGAATGAGTCACAACCTAACAGCAGATGCGTATAGGGTAAAACTTCAGAAACAACCTCACAATGGCACAACTTTAATAGTGTTATGATCCAACAGCGCCCTCTACTGCCGCTGTAAGTACCGCAGTTTCCCTCACAAAAAGAACATGTTTTGGTTCCTTTTTGGTCATAAGTTTATAAATCTTTAAAGCTTTATTATACTATATTATCAGCACCAGAATTCTGTAAAATCCTTTAATTTACTTTGAAATTTCACATTTCCTTTCATTTTGCTTTCCACTTTTCTGCAAAACAGGAAAAGGAGGAAACGCACAAGGACGAAGTTTTCATTATAAACAGGGACACAGCAGAGGGACGCTGTATCAGCCGAGCGCTGTAAGTGCTTCTTAAAATAGGCGCTAAATCCTATCAGTGATGCTTAGCTGTCCAGTCACAAGAATTAAAACAAGTCTGAGTTCACTTTTAGTTTTTCTGTCACAAACATGAGCAAACAGGGTGGATTTTTAACCAATGGGTGTTCCAGGGAATTACTCACAGGCTTTTAAATGACACAAACCATGACATTATAGGGTGGACCTACACAACGTTATTACTACACCCTCATTACAGCGTCTACGCTCACTTGTGAGACCTACAGGTGATTTGTGGCAGGTGATGAGGAGCTGTTGGATCAGGTGCTGCGTCAGCTCCAGCTTAAGCCCTTTAGCCTCATTAAAGTAGCCTGACAACAACACACTCAGTGGTTTCTGTCTGAAGCTGCAACGTGGCAAACAGGCAAAGGATTTTATTGCTGCTTCTGTGTGTAGATTATTTTCAAACAACATATAAAATAGGTTTTTAAATCACCCAAATGTTCTACTTATGTGGCTTTGGAGGAGAAAAATGTGTCTGTGGTGGTTCACTGAGAAATTGGTGGAGTGGTTTTGAAGCTGTTGTTCTCATTTACAATCCAGATTAAACCAATGAAGGTTTAGGTGGTACACACACTGATTAAAACACATTTGACTGGGGAAAACAAAACAAAAAACATCTTGTGCTAACAAGGTCCTAATCAAATAAAAACAGTGCATAGATGTGAAATGAATTCCTGATTTTAGTTCCTTTTTTTTAACTTTATGAATCATGCTCAAATAAGCCTGCATCATTTTTAACTGTTTTTAGCTCCATTGTTGGATTGTTTAAACGATGCTTCCTGACAGGATAAGGATCACAGTCATTCAGTAGTTGTTTGGTGCCTCACCCTTTGTGTTTATTTTTTCTTTTTCTTTTTTTTTACTCCAAGTTAGATCTCAACGTTTTAAAAGTTGGAGCAAACATGAAGCATGACCATTGACAGGAGAAATTAAAACAGCTGTCTCACAGGGAGCGGGATGCATTAGAATGATTATGGATCCTTCTGTTAATGTGTTGGAAACAAAAAGTGAAATGTGCATGAGTAAGACTTTAAGTGCTGATGACAAAAAAGGAAGTACTGATGAGTAGACCATCGTCTCCAAAACTTAAGTGGAGTGTCTGCTGTGGTAATGAGGGGAGGGAAGACAGCCAAGTGATGCGTGTGCTGAACAGAGTCTGACCCCAAAAACACAAAACCATAGGAAAAGATAGGTCTGGTCTCATGTCATGGTAAACTTTACAGATCATCATGTACATGTCTTAAGAGAAGAAGCAACAGCTTGGGAATCCTGCTGGAAAACAGCCATGCCACACCTGGTTTCATACACATCTACTGTCTTGTCAGTATTTCCTGACAGGCGTTGCCTCAGCGAGTCATCTGGTTCCATCCTCTACACTCTCTGGATTTCCCGTCTGTCAGTTGGTTGGCCAAAGCATCCTTCTAGAAGTTCAGTGATTGGGGGTTTTATAAAAAAAATAAAATATTTTGCCTATAACATTCAAAATGCTGTCATTACAAAAATGTAAAGTGACACAATGCAGTGCAGCTTGCATGTACCCAACCACCAGGTGTGTACATAAAAACATGATGGTCCTTTCTATTTCTGCTCTAAGCACAATCATTTATGTAGTGATCGCAGATTATGTATGTTTTTAAATAACTTAAACATGTTATTGCTTTATACAGTGTTTACTATACAGTAATATTACAAGCTATATTTACCCCAGTCATTTAAAAAAAGTTCAAACTGATGGCTGCAAAAGCTTCATCCATAAAGTCATATGCAGCTTTGGTTGGATGTTTTTAACCATGCATGCTTTCCCACTTCCCCTGAACACCAACAGTGCAGCCAGTCTTCTTCCACCCAGATCGTCTGATAACCAGATGGGTTGGTGCGTGGGGGCGTCCCAACGCAGGCCTGATCCACACGTGGGAGCTAGGACACAAACACCACATCTAAAACCCCTCCCACTTGTGGCTGTCTGAACGGAAGCTTTTAGATCACATTTAATGGTGTTCCTGCGATTTCCTGGTCTTTCACTTTAGTAAATGGGAGACAATCCCAAACTCCCAGAGTGAAATGTTTCTCCAAGAGATCCTGAAGTCTTTCAGCGACTGTTCATCAGCACACTGGCATGGCTCACACCAGTCACACCACTCAATGTGTGCTCTGTTTTCTTTGTCTGACTTCTGTTCTGGCTACTCAGAAATGGCCTTGGCTGCAGACGGTTGTGAAATGTAGCAGGGTGAGTGCCGTTATACACACACATACACACACACACACACACACACACATATATATGTATATATATATATGTGTGTATATATACATATATATTTATAAAAGTAATAGGGGGCAGCAGTAGCTCAACAGGTTGAGCGGGTTGTCCAGTAATCGGAAGGTTGCAGGTTTGATCCCGGCTCCGGACAGAGAATTCTGCTGTTGTGTCCTTGGGCAAGACACTTAACCCACGTTGCCTGCTGGTGGTGGTCGGAGGGACCGGTGGCGCCTGTGCTCGGCAGCCTCGCCTCTGTCAGTGCGCCCCAGGTTAGCTGTGGCTGCATTGTAGCTCATCACCATCAGTGTGTGAATGTGTGTGTGAATGGATGAATGATACACTGTAGTGTAAAGCGCTTTGGAGTCCTTACTCTGAGAGGCGCTATACAAGTGCGGGTCATTTATCATAATATAATTTACTAACTTACTAAAGCTATCTTGAAATCCCCCAAAGCACTATGTTCTGCAGTAATATCCACATTGTGTGCTGAGTGAGACCCGATGCATTGTTCATAAAAAAATTACCACTGCTCCTCATAGGTTCTTCCTTGTATTGAGGAAGAATTGGCTCTTTGAGCCGGTATCGTTTAACTAATTTAGTGTAGTCTTTCTCCCTGGAAACGCAGTCATAGCTGCCGTAGTTTCCCTTCGTCATGGACGGGATGAGGTGCAGACAGTTCGAAAGCATCTGCAGACAAGGACTCTGTCTGCCTTCGTGCTCCCAGGTGTACTCGGCGTGATAAGAGTCTATTGGACAGGACAGGTAGAACGGGACACCCTGGGGTACTGAATGAACTTTTTCCAAGTCTGTTTGTAAGAAGATCTGCCGCTTTAACCTGTCCCCTGTATTATGCGCCAAAGAGAAAAAAGAAGAAAAAATAAATAAAGATTTTTGCAAAAACATTTTTTGCAATCTTTGCATCTTCTCTTGATCGTTACCTGTTGTTGATGTGGAGCAAACACTTCTTTCCCCATTCATGATGTTCTGAATGCTCCCACTGTAAAAATAAACACAACAGGTCCGTTATTTTAGTGCCAAAAGTAGAAGAAACCTGCTGGAAATCAACATAAAGGGGTAGGTGAAGTGAACTAAACAGAGTACTTTTGCAGGGTTTGCATACACGGCGTGTGTACCAGAGTCACTTACGGGACAGTCTGGGTGCATCCAGATGTTGTCCAGGCACAGTAGGGGTCCCGGGCCAGGACACATTCGTCACATGAGCTGCCGTACTTGTCACAATTCTGAAGGTCCACGGAGGAAATCTTCTCAGAAAAACCTATGACTAGCTTCTTCTAAACAAATGAGACCAAAAGGGAAAAGTTAAACAACTTAAAACACGAATGACAACTAGCTAAAACCCTAACCTTGTTAAATATTTTAAAAGCATACTGAGAAATCTATTTTCACACAAATTCCTTTTCAAAAATTTGTTGCAACTTCAGATTTTCTGTAGCTTCTTTAATCAATCAGATGCAAATAAGCATGACACATTTTATCTGACCACTTTCAACCAGCTCTTGATACAAATTCAATGAAAAAAAAATTACCCCCTAGTTTAAAGACACAATTTAGTGGTCTCTATGAATGCCTCGTGAGTCGATCGCTGTGGTAAAAAAGTTCTGGTGCTCCTGTTTGATGACGTAGAAGTGAGCAAGAGGAGAGGGGAGCAGAACACGGCAGGATGTAGAGTCCTATTTCCTGATATTTGAACATCTTGCATCTGATTGGCTAACAGCAAAGTGACTCCTTCACTGACTGAAACGTTGATGTTTTATCTCCACAAATAACTCAAGTCTGGAGGAGTTATGTCGCGTTGTGGAGCTGCTAATGCTAACGGTTAGCTTCTACTAGCCAATACGGCGTGTGCCTACTTGAACTGCAGACTTGCTTACACAGTTAAAAATGAAAGAATTATTAGTCTAACTGCAGGACTTGTGACAGTCCGATCACTCCTTGTATCCTATTCCAGCTCCTTCCGCAATTGGTTTTGGCTCCTGAACAAAATGTCACCTTGCCACTTGCTGTAGCTTTCCTAAGCCAAAATAAATAGCCCTTCCTGTATTGTTTCATTCCTTTGGCAGTCTAATTAAAACCCAACGTTTTAACTGTATACCCTTTCCTTACTGACTGAGTCCGGCTCTGCCTAACTGATTGTTTCCAGCTGCAAACAGGTGCCAGGTGCTACAGAAAGATTTTGATAACTCTAGCTCTGCTAATCAAACAGCTGCAAGGTCATGGACCATCCCAGACAAATAAGATGAAAGAGGCTTTGACTCTGTGAAACTGAGAAAACCAATATCGGCTCTCGGCCTAACACCTTTTCAGGTCCCATAAATCTGTGCTTTCGCAACTGTTAAGGTGATGTAATTGTAACTCAAAGTGCAAATTATGTGGCAGCTATAAGGTAAATTTTAAGCACTGTACCTTTTTAGAGTCTAATTTCATTGCCTGTACAGCTGAAGTGCTGGAGAGTTGAGTTTCCGATACAATGAAAGGCTCTGAACCAGCCTCTAGGACTTTATGAATCTTCCCAGAATCTGTTGGATGAGAAATACTGCGGTAATTATGGGACTCGTGCTGGAGGTGATGTATTTTTAGCCCATTGTTCCCAGCAGAGATTATAAACAAGGCTTGATTACAAGCCAGAAAAACCAATAATCACAAAGCATAAGAAGCAGACTGAATATCACCTATCCGGTGAGCTGAGGGATTTCTTGCAGCCTTGACTTACCAGTAGCAAGGAGCAAAACGTTATACATGTGCTGGTCTGCTGCTTGCACCCGGTCAACAGCTATCTTGGTGTAGTTGTGGTTACTTGTGTAAAAAGGAGCTTGGTAATGCACAGAGTGCACCCAGTCGGTCATCTCAGGGTAATCCTTCACTACATTCACAGTCTCCCATGACAGGCTCTTGCTGTTCGGCACACACTGACAAAGAAAACAAACAAATATGTGTTTTTTGTCAGTAAACATTACACAGATAAACCAGATGTAACCAAATTTCAGGATTCCAGCCTTCTTCCCATAATAATGCACGGTTTATTCAGGCATGCTGAAGGTGAGAGAATGCTGCGGTCAAAGTTTTCTGCTTATCGCAGATCCTTCCTGCCAGCAGCTGTTAGAATTTACCACCACCACTGCTCCCACCAAAACCAGTAAACAATCTACATCTCTGCTGTTTTTGGGATTTGCACATTTTCAGTTGTCATTCTACCTGGTGGTGGTCGGAGGAACCAGTGGCACCCCAGGGCAGCTGAGGCTACATCGTAGCTCATCTCCACCACCATGACTGCCTGTGTTGTAAAGCGCCTATCTCCAGCAGACAATGGGCAAATAGGTTGGGTGCACCCTGGACAGAGTGCCAGTCCATCTCAGGACAACATAGTCGCAAAGAACAAACAAGCACACACCTAAGAACAATCTAGACAGACCAATTAACCTGACAGTCATGTTTTTGGACTGTGGGAGGAAGCCGGAGTACCCGGAGAGAACCCACACATGCACAGGGAGAACATGCAAACCTTTTGCAGAAAGACCCCAGGTTAGGATGTGAACCTAGGACCTTCTTGCTGCAAGGCAACAGCGCTAACCACTGCACCACTGTGCAGCAATACATCTTTTTAAATCTACTTATACTGCATCTAAAAATGTGAACATTGTCTGACTTTATCTGCAAGACATTCTTCAATCTGCTTCGTGTCTGTCGCTAGATATGTTTGGCTCTCATTTCATTTCTTTGAGGGGGAATGGTGGTGCTGTTGAAAATATTAAAGGAAGTGGCGTCCTGACCAGTCACAGGCTTGCAGTCTCTGTTGCTTTCGATGGAGACACGTTCGATGCCTGTTGGGAGAGCCCTTGCGACGATGGATAATAGCGTTGGGTGTCTCCTTTCCAACGTAGACAGAGAAATACAAACTAGGCATTAGAGTTTTACGTCAAAACGAACAAGTATTAAACCCTTTCTCTGAGAACGACATGTTTAATTATTTAAAGTCAGCTCCTTCAAGTCTGAGGTATTGGTTTTTAACAGAAAAGGGGTGGACTCTCTTTAGATTTGGAGAGTTTCTGACTCATGTGGAGAAAATTAAGCACTTTGGTTACTTGTTCTCAAGTGATGGTAGGGTGGAGCAAAAGGAGGGCAGAAAAATGGAGTCTTTGTCTTCAGGACTGATGGCTTTTCTCTGGTCTATAGCCATGTAGGGGAGGCTGAGGTCAAAGCAAAGCTCTTGATCTGTCTGTGTTCTAGTGGTCAAAGGGTTTCGAGCATGGCCACAACAACATGATCAGCTGAAATAAGCTTCGTCCAAAAGGTGATCAGGCTCAGCTTTTGAGATAAAGTAAAGAACAGCATTATCCTGGGAGAGCTTCAAGAGATGCAGCTTCTGTTTATAAAAAGAAGGCACCGTAAGCTGTTAAGGCCCTTCTTGATGTCCTCGTGTAAAGGAAGGAGACAGAGGCAAACCCAGAACTTGAATGCTGGGTGAGATCTGATTGCAAATGAGTTTGTGTGCCTGAGTCTGAGACTAAGTTCATTTGGTTGAAATTTGTTTTTCTGAGTGTTTAAAAAGGAAGCAACCGAGTGCTTCTTTTTCCAAATAAAAGAACTGGTACAGTCATCATGTGGAGGGCAGCAGCGCTGAAGTTTAGTCTGAATGAGGAGGGATGCACCCATTGAGATTTTCCTTCTATAAACTGTGTAATTTAATGACCCAGTGACCAATGCTGAATATAAACACATGCTTAATGTTTAAACTATGACCACATGCACACGTGTTGTCTGGAGCAACAAAGACAGGAACATCTAGAAACGCACCAGGTAGTCCCCACAGCAACTTTGCAAAAGCGAACAGACCTCGTGCGCCAACCATCAAGTAGTTATGGAAAACATGAACAGCATGAACTCAGAGCAAATGTTCCAGAGTTCCACCTGTTTATGTAACATGTTTTCTAATCTAAAACTGGTCAGACATGCCATCTGTGAAAACAAAAACTCCCGGTGACCGTGAGTGCAAAAGTATGCATGCAAAAATAAACCATTTTAAAGAAGATGTGTTTTCTTAAAAAGTACCATAGCAACAAAACCGACTCTCACCGTTCCCGGTCTTGGATGAGGAACTTCTTTGTTGTAGCCCTTGAAAGATGAATTCTCAAAGACAGTCTCGATCGTTTCTATTGAGTAAACGCAAACCGCAGAAGAGTTCCTAAAGCAGAAATAAATACAACTGAGGTCAGCAGATGGTGAATACCATAGTGATTGCATTGTTTTAAGCTGGCATCGCTCCAAACTGGTCTGGTGAGGGCGTCTCAGTGTTGTGGTATGATGTTTTGGAAACTTGTGTAATAACTAAAACCCAAGACACTGCGATCTCTGGCGTTTTGATGCCCGTTTGTTCCCTTTGTTGTTCCTTAGTTTCTGACAACAAAACAAAACAAAGAAGAAAATGTTACAGAAAAGTGTTGTACCAGCTGCTTGAAAACAACGCGTAGACTTTGGTGTCACGCCAATCCTCAGCATGCATCACAAAGATGTCTTGGAGACGGTTAAAGTACAGCGACTCGTCTGGAAATCCACAGACAAGCCGAGCCTTGAGGAAAGAGGTCCAAGTATTCTGGAAGAATCTTTTTGATCCACCTTCATCCACCTGCATCATGACACAGAGACAAGGAACAGACTGACTAAGTTATTCTATACCACTAACATTGCAGCCACCTTCCCAAGTGAAGTTAAACACCAAACCCCTTTTAGGGCTAGTCATGTTTTCGAGAAGCTTTTGTAAACACTACCACAGTGGCATGAGAGGGATACCGCCTTATTGCAGAAGCATGATTTAATAAGTTTTTTAAATGTTCCTCATGGTGCACGGAAAGTATTAGCTGAATTTCGTCTTTGCATGTACAATTAACTGCCATGAAAATAACTTCCTGTTAGGGTATTATACTCTCCATGACGACAGTGTCAATATATCCATGTAAAGTGCACTTCTGCTTAAACTAGAAACAGTCCTTGCCCTTTACATTGTTCCTGTTAGAAACAGATAAAGGTCAGTTACCTGACAGGTAACCTACTGCTTATTTCAGATGGAAAAGGATGTTTTTCAATCTGTCATCAGCTACATGAAGATGTACACATCAGGGCTGCACGATATTAGAAAAACGTGATGCACGATAACAGTGATTAATATTGCAATGACAATATGACTTGCAATAAATAAACAACTACTTAACTCAAGAACAAAAAAACTAAATAAAAAAACAAAGAAAGAAATAAAAAAAATATTTTAAAACAACAACAAAAAACATAAAAATGGGAAAAACAAAAAATGTTATCAGAAGATGTGAGCAAAGAGAAAAAGAAAATGAACAAGAAAAGGCAAACAGTGAATCCAGGGAAAAGAAGAATCAGCAGAAAGAGCAGAACAATGCTAACTCAGGTGTTTGCCAGCCATCCAAATTAAGTGGTGTCCGCATAGGGGGTGGGCATCTAACCTATAAGAACGCACCCGATTGGCCAAATGGGTGAAGGGCTCTATTTGATTAGTCAAAAACGTCATGCTTCAAACGGAACACAATGTGTGATGCAGACATTTGAGCTGACCATTCATTATGTTTTTTCTGTTCTTTTTAATGTATTGTGCAGCCCGAGTACACACACACACACACACACACACACACATATATATATATATATATATATATATATATATATATATATATATATATATATATATATATATATATATATATTAGGTGTTTCTCAATGTCAAGGAACCTTGCCTTGATGTCTTGGCCCCGCCTCAGGTGGCTAGGAGATACGTCATCAGGAGCCGCCAAGACGTGTTCCAGTCGGTTCCAATGTTCAGGTTCTACCGAGGCGTGTGTTCTCTGTTTGTTAGCCGTTTAGCTAGCTGAGCGAGGATACACGGGAGGTGTCTTGTTGTCTAGCCTTGGTCAAAAATTACCCAGAATACACGCGGTATTTTCAAAAGGACGGTGGATCAGAAGCCGGCAGCTACTTTATGTTTATGTTTATGTTTATGTATTTAGCAGACCCTTTTGTCCAAAGCGACTTACTTTGGGGACAATTTTCAAGTTTAAAAGTAAGTCAACTAATTTTAAATGATTTATTTATTTTTTTTTTAGATCCAAAGAAGTTATCTATTGTTGGTTAGATGCTTATTAGTTGCAGCTTCGGTGGCTAGCGGGTAACTCACTTATATTTTTAATTTAATAAACATATACACAATTTAAAAAGTAAAAGGCTCGTTATATATTTATATTGAAACTAATACGTATAAAATATAACGTTGTCTCCCGTGTCACGTGATGTTACATGACCGCTGTGGAAGCCACGGTCACGTGATGCAAGTCTGTTCCATTTAACCGTTTTCTTTGACCAAGGAAGGACAGTGTCCTCGTAAGCAAGGCACCTGGCCTTGCAAGACATTGCCTCGCAAGGCAAGGCGCCTTGACATTGAGAAACACCCATTATCTTGTGTGTTGTACAGTTTTAAAGGTGTGGTTCACTTGTTTATTATTTGTAGTGGTATACAGTATGATTGAATGCCTTTCAATTCGTACTCAGGGGGAAAAAAGCTAAGATGCGCTTGTTTCAGAAACTTGCAGAATACCACACCAGAGAAGAGCTCAACATGGCAGGATCTATTTGGACATCTCGCCTGTGATTGGATAACAGCAACGACTCTGCCACTAACTCTGTTTTCTCTGCAACGTTGATGTTTATCTCCACAAATAACTCAACCCTGGAGGTGTTCTGTTGTGTGGTGGAATTGTTAATGCTAACAGTTAGCTTTTACTAGTTGAGATGTTCTGTTTCCTGGATGCTAAACCAACAACAGCCTTCCCTGTCATGAGTCAAGATGGGTGAGTCCATGAATGTTAAGTGACAGTGCGATGTTACACTGTCAGGCTTTTCAAATCCTTGTCAGGTATAGGGAACTGGACACAAAAGCAAGGCTGGGGAATGAGGAGGTAAAAGGCAAATGTCCTTTATTAAGACAGAGGTCAAAAAGGCAGGTAAATATTCCAACAAGCTAATTCAAGTTAGCAGGCAAAAAGAGCAGAAACGGTTGCACCAAAACCAAGTCAAACATACTGAGAGCAAACACTAATCACGGCTGGAACGAAGAGCTAGAAGACAACAACGAACTGGCAACTGAAAAGGAGAACAAAGAGAGATTAAATACAAGTGAACACAGCTAGGATTAATCTGGTTAACGAAGGACAGGAAATGACACAGAGGAGAGAGGAAAATGTCAAAGTAAAACAGGAAACAAAGAGCTGGACTCCTGGCAGGGTGTGACAATCCTAGAGTTTCATCTATTTTCTATCAGAAGCTAAAGCAGGAGATAGGTGTAGGAGACTATTTTCATGTTCAGCCTGTATGAAAAACTCAGAGAGACTTATAATCAGAAATAATAATTTAAAAAATGTATCTTTTTGTGTGTGGTTCACTCCTTTAAAAGTACAATTAAATGTTTTAATTTTAGGCTGCGCAGTGGTGCAGTGGTTAGAGCTGTTGCCTTGCAGCGAGAAGGTCCTGGGTTCGCTTCCCGGCCTGTGATCTTTCTGCATGGAGTTAGCGTGTTCTCCCTGTGCATGCGTGGGTTCTCTCTGGGTACTCTGGCTTCCTCCCACAGTCCAAAAACATGACTGTCAGGTTGATTGGTCTGTCTAAATTGTCCTTAGGTGTGTGTGTGTGTGTGTGTGTGTGTGTGTGTGTGTTTGTCCTGTGTGTCTCTGTGCGTCCCTGCGATGGACTGGCTCTCTGTCCAGGGTGTACCCCGCCTAATTGCCCGTTGACTGCTGGAGATGGGCACCAGCCCCCCGCGACCCTACGTGGACAAAGCAGCTTCAGAAGATGGATGGTTTTAATTTTATTATAAAACACATTTTCTTGCACTGAAATGCAAACTGATCTTCAGCAGAAGCTGGAAGCTTCTGATAAACATACATCATATATCATGTAAATATTAGATATTCATAAAATATCTATTGCACCAACATTCATGCAAATTTATTTTAGATTATTTAACTTATGGAATACCTTTATCTTCAGAAGTTTATTGGTTTCTATAGTGACACTCCATCCAGAGGTCCTGAATGGTTTAAAATAGTTCAAATTTGTCATTATTGTCTTCAAGGTGAACTATGATCAACCTAACTGAACATCTGTATGGAAAAAAAAATTTGGTAGAGTTTCAAAGCCTTGAGAAATCAACCCAAAGGCACCCTGAGGGGTTTTTGGCAGTACATCACCACCTTGCATAAATATTTTCTATGTGATTACAACCTAGCTGTACATTTTTGTCACTTATTTAATATTTGGGGTTTTCCCTTGTTTGACAGAAAATGAGCAAATTAAAAATAAATGTGTTTTTATGGGTGTGGGTCCAGTCGCCTGCACAATGGAGGTTCAGAATCTCCTGTGTTGAGCCCGTACCTTACACACTCTGGCCACTCTAGAAATCCAGGGATCAGCTTCTGGGCTGTGGTCGGAGTTCTTCTCACGAAAAAATATGTAGATTTTTTCATTATCAGGGTCATCCTCGCGCTTTACCCAGGATGCAGAGATGAATGTGGGCTCTGTGAAAAAGGACGTCATGTTTTAGCAACAGCACCAGAAGGCAGCTTGAGTGATGAGATGTTCAGATTCAATACAGTTAAAATTAAAAAATTAAAGTTGCTTGTTTCTACAACAAAAAGAAGCATGGGAGTGTGCTACTAAAATTAATTCGTTTGAGTGCTGCTGTATATACTTTACACTGCCAAATGAAACTGCTTCCCTTTAAAGTTGCCGCTGTAAACTGAAAATTGCCCGTCTGTGCAAACGCACGGTTTGCTGACAAAAAAAGCGTTGTGCCTGCACTTTCACTGACACGCAAGCAAATAGTTCAATTGGATCTAATTTCCTTCATTGAGCCGTTTTCCTTGAATTCCTGAAAATGTATTATTTCTGTTTACCTTTGGGTTGCTGAGAAACAAAGCTACGTGCCATCATTAAGCCAGATATGTAAATAATTTGGTTTGAAGGCACATCACAGATGTAATAACGGGTTAGGGCTCCTACACTAGAAACAACCTGCTGTAATTCTCACCTGAGACCCAGCTGTCATACATCCAAACGTTTGTTCTGCTGCCTGCTTTTCTCCTGAACTGTAGTGAGCTTCCCTCAACATCCAAAGGTGCTGCTGCATACAGGTCTCCATCTGCACAACAGCAAAGATCACTTCAAATACTTTACTTCAGTTTATGTCAGTTTTATTATAGTCCTGAGTCATATCTGATGCCTTAAACACATTTTAAACACGTAGAAATCTATATTTACCAACTGCGAGTGACAAGGAGTTTTGCGTGTAGACAAATGGGGAGATGCCGGTCCCCTCATAGCTCTCCACTATTTCATAAGACTGGTTACTTACAGAAGGGAACTATAAAGAACGACAGAAAATGAAACAGTCAACAGTCCAATATGATGTCCTGAGAGCTGCAGTGGAAAACACATAAACAAATGATGAGATACCAGATAGCCTACTTAATTATGTAGCAGGGAACTCAAATAAAGTTTCCTTAGAACCCCTTAAATCAGCTTGGCCCTGCTGCCACAGTTGGGTTTATATTCAAGATGCATTCATCACTCACAAGCTCCCAGCACTTTGGATTGAGTCCATTTGTTCCACAGACAAAAACGCTGTCCTGAAACTTCTCGATTACGGTGATTTCATTTGTACAAGAGCCCTAAAAAAGACATTTGTCATTACAGAAAGGCAAAAAGTCACTTGTAAGTCGCTTTGGACAAAAGCGTCAGCTACATACATAAACATAAACATAAACATAAAAAGTCACATTTTGTAAATCTGCTGCTACTTACTTCATGACATTCATGCTGCTCTGTGGTCTTCAGTGGATATTCCTGTCAGAGAACAAATTTGTTCCTCTAATTAACCAATCATACAATAAAAAGCACCAAATGGACCCTATTTATGAAATCATCATCATCATGGATCGTAGATATAAGAAGATTTTGAGCAGTTTTAGATTTTCTGGATCTGATTTCCAATCAGTTGGTTATCTTAAGAATTCAGCATTTTACAGTTAGAAAAAGTAATCAGATTTATTATGATGACCTGTTTAAAATGTTCCTGTTTTTTTAACTAATCTGCCATGAATAGATCTGTGCCAGCCATCTGTTACTTTGCTGTCTAATTACCACAAAATGCACCCAGTCTGGAGAAGAATTAAACTGAGAAGACGTGGAATAAGCAAACACAGCAGCAGGTGCCAAAGCGGAGCTCAGGACTTACCTCTAAGATGTGAAATTCGTTCACATCCAGTTTTAAAACAAAGTCAGTCCCACCAACATACAGTTCGTCTGAATCCTCCTGATATGAGAAGACGCTGTGGTTCTGATATGCGTCATACACATGTCCACCTTTGGTTAAACCTAAAAATAAAACAAGTAAATATAGCGTTGAGTCTCACCGAAACAGAATGATAGGAGCTCACCCACCTGTGATCAGGAGTCTAGGGCTTTTAGGCGAGCCGAGAGTCGGTGTTTCCTGTAAGTCTTTATTCTGAACAAGATGAAACTCGCCGAGCAGCAGGAGAGGAAAATAATAGAGTCGGTTCATAATTATTGCGCGCGAGAGAGCGGACAGTTCCGCTATCCTGTTAGGAGAACTGAGGCATCGCCTGTCTGCGATTATTGCATTATAGACCGGAGCAGTCACTCCTCTTCCTCCATCTCTGTCACGGTGTCACCACTGCGTTCGCAGGACGTAAACAAATGAAAAAGGCCAGATTTGCCTGCAGAGCCGCACAAGACCAAGTACACCATCAGTGCACACTAACGGAGAGGCGCACTTGTTTCGTCGGTGCCGCCCCTTGTGGTCACATTTGGAGCCCCAGGGAAGCCCCATAAATCATATTCACGTTAACACGAACCATGTATTATTTTTCCACACATTTAAAAACCCAATAGAGACATGCCACAATTTGTCACTAATTAAAAAAACTTTATTCTCACTACCAACCCCCCACGCAGCACCTCCCTTGCTCCCCCCTCTCACTTAGATCTGACCGGGTAAAATTTACTTACCTATAGATTGAGACACCCAAGATACAAAACTGAATGCCACCATAGATCATTCATTCATTCAACATGTAAGAACACAATTTTATATTTTCAGGATAACGGTTCCAGATATTTATACCTTTGACAGATATACAGTGATTTTTAATCATGAGTCTTTGGCCTTTCAATTCAATTCAATTTTATTTTATTTATATAGCGCCAAATCACGACAAGAGTAATCTCAAGGCACTTCACATAATAAACTTTCCAATTCAGGTCAGTTCATTAAGCCAATCAGAAAAAAAGTTTCCTATAAGGAACCCAGCAAATTGCATCAAGTCCACTGACGAGTGTCAGTGACTTTACAGCAATCCTCATACTAAGCAAGCATATAGCGACAGTGGAGAGAAAAACTCCCGTTTAACAGGAAGAAACCTCCAGAGGATCCTGGCTCAGTATAAGCAGCCATCCTCCACGACTCACTGGAGATCGAGAAAACAGAGCACACTCACACACACACACACACACACACACACACACACACACACACACACACACACACACACACACGTACGAGCACGCACACACACACACACATGCACGTACGCGCACGCACACACACACACACACACTATTATTTTGAATAATAAAGAACCTCTTTTGTCTGTTCATACTGTGTTTTTGTCTGTAATCCATATTTTTGTTATTTTCTTACACAGTTCAGTAAAAATTATTTATTTACCTCACGTGCAATATAAATAAATAATTTTTACTAAATTGTGTAAGAAAAGAACAAAAAAAATAATAAAGAACCTCTCCACGGTTTAACTGCTTCTGTCACTATCCTGTCACATTCTAACATCAAAGCTATATTTAATACTTGTGAAATACCTGGATGAATATTTTTATGTCTGTATCTTTATGCTGTTTCTTTGTGGAGAGTCGATTTTCTATTTTTACTCTATTCTTATTCTTTTTTGTTTGAGTGCTGAATGCTGGTATCCGATTAGCAGAGAGAAAGTTAAAAACATCTGGCAAGTTTCAGAAGGAGAAAGTAGGAGAAGCATGCAAAATCAGTAGTCAGATTGTGAGTTTTTTCTGGAGTAAAATAACCTAGAAGAGAGTCCAGATTACACCCAAAAGCAAAACAAAACCAGCACACCAAAGTACCAGGGCATCCTTCCACGGCACCATTTTGGTCAGTTATTCCCATAAGTACAGGATCAGCAAAGAAGTGGTCATGGCTAAACACCAGTACCTTGTCAACATTCAGCAGCAAATCTCTGAAAACAACTTGACCTCTGTGTGGAAAGTTTCAGCAACATTATGAACTACAAGCCCGAAAGCCCCGCCGCCACTAATCTGCCTAAACAACTTACTTCTATGGTCGGTTTGATGAACCATCATAGTGCAAGAGGTTCTGATCCATTCGGACCGGAACCTCTTGCCACAAAAGCGGTTTCTTCCCCTCCGCAGTTGGTCTCATGAATGACAATTCTAGGGCTGCCCACTCCAGTCGCTTTGTTTCAGTCACATGACCATGTAATGTGTTTGTACCTGAAGCCGTTTCTTTAACTATTGCCACTTCATATAATTATTTAATCATAATTATATTCTTACTTCCTTTATCTGCTTATCTCTTATTTTTTATCTTTCTTTTTTGCACCAATTACCGCACGGGCACAGCAGCATATTCCTAATGTTGTGATTTCTCGCATATATGGCAAAGAAACCCTTCTGATTTGATTAGGTTTAGTTGCAAAGGCAGAGAGTTTAAATGTGGTCAGACATGTGGATGAGTGACGTCAGAGAGCTGCAGAGAGATGCAGTACATGCCTGTTTTTCTGATGGTCTCAGAAATGAATAAGTATGTACAGGAATATGTCCCAAGAGTCAACACGTCTTGGCCTGCAACACAGAAAAAGCTTACATTGTGAATATCACTTCCTCGTCGGAGTTTATTTTGCTGCAGCCTATATTCAGCAATTTGTGCATCTAAATATATCATTGCACCCCAGGCCACTTTCCTGCTTTTGTGGACAGATTTTGAAACAAGGGTAGACTACATTGTTGTATTTTGCAAGGGCCAGGGAGTCATCTCATACTGCCAGTCCACCACATGCATGAACCATTAAAGGAAAAATAACTTGGGAGAAAGCCTATAGCACAGTAAACATAAGAAAACCCTCTTGCAATGAAATACTATCCCCAAACTCATAGTCATTATATGAAGAGATAATGTCGACAGGACTTATTGTTTCCTTGCTTGGTTGAAAATTTTAACCTCAAATAATTTCTTCTCAGTACTTTAGGTGATTATTTCCTGTACTGTTTTCACATAAGTAAGAACTGACCTGAGTACAGCTTTTATCCCAAATCCACAATTTTACTGGAAAAAAGTAAAAAAAAATATCTTTACCTTATTTTTAAAAATTGGAGTCTATAAATACTTATGTATAAGAATATGTCCCAAGAGTTAAGACCAAACAAGTAGCAAAAAGTATAACATTTTATTAAGGACAAAGATCAGATGAAGAAACCAAAAACAATTCATAACTGGCACAAATCCACACTGATTTTCTATGACAAAAGGGTGAAAACAAGATAAAAAAGAGAAAGCTGCATAACACACATTAGTCAGACACAAAGTAAAAACCAAAACAAAATAAAGTACCTGAAATGTGAAGTAGAAGCAACTACAGAAACATTTGTAGGGACAAAAGTTATCTCAAATTAGTGAAAACTTGATTTATAATTCTGAAAAGGCAAGAAAAGAAAAATAATAAAGAGGCAGGATATCTGATTTAGGTAATATTCTGCAATGCTTTTTTGCAATTGTGTGTGTGTGTGTTTTATTTATTTTTTATTGTCATTCTGTTTTAATTTTAATTTAGGAAATTTATTAAACGAAACAATTCTTTCAAAACCAATTTGTACATAATCGATTTTATGCATTTTGTCTAAATAATCCACTAACAAAGGTAAATTTTAGGACAGAAAAGTCTGGAGTGCAACATTCAAGCTCCGCCCACTTGTAGCACGTGTCCAATCAGCTACGAGAAGAGCTCCGGGTCTTCCGGTTTCCATCTTCACTACAACCATGGTAAATATTTTAATGATTATCAAGGGATTTTACAAAGTCTAGTTATTTTTTGATCCGTTTAAAGTACAAGGCAATTTAATTATGCTTTGGGTTAAATGTGTAATCAGTCATCTTAACGGATCAAGTGGATATTTGAAGCAGATTCCACGTAGTTTTCAAGCTAAGCTAGTAGCATTTCATTAGCATCCAAATATAATGTCCGAGCTGGGTTAACAAATCTCCCTTTTAAAAAATTGTATTTTATGGTTTAATTCACGTTTTCCATGTATAGAGGTTCCGTTTCTGTGGAGATTTGGACTGCCCGGATTGGGTTCTTGCTGAAATCAGCACATTAGCAAAACTTGTAAGTAAAAACATGTAAACAAAAGCATTGATTGGTTTTGTTTAGGTTTTGTATAAAATACTTGTTCCCCCCTCATTTTCTCAGTCTAGTATCAAGATGAAACTTCTTTGTGCTCAAGTGCTGAAGGATTTACTCGGAGAGGGGATTGATGTAAGTTATGCAAAAATATTTCCAAATAACCACAAAAATTGAGTTTTCACATTAGTTTCACAAAATCATCAGTGTCCCCTTTTGTTCTTAGTTTGATAAAGTTGCAAAGCTGACTGCAGATGCAAAGTTTGGTAAGTGTCTCCTGCTGTTTGCTACTTCTGTTAAAATGTATTTGTAAAAATGTAACACTAGTTCATCTTCCAGCTTTTGCACTATTTCTTGCTAAAATGTGTTTGTAGAAATGTAACACTCGTTCATCTTGCAGCTTTTGCACTATTTCTTTAAAGCTTGTGAAAAAAAATTATCTCAGCAGGAAGTAACTGTTTTTATCTTTAAACCAGAGGATTTAAAAAAATTCTATGAAGTTGTTATGTTTGATGCATTGTTACGCAAGCTGGATTTTACATTTTTCCCATTGACGATGAAAAGAATGTATAGTTTTGTAATAGAATAGTAGCCCACAACTATTCCTGTATGATAATGTCTTCATCAGGGAAAAGCTTTCTTTTGGAAACAAGATGAATAAACCTTTTCCCTCACAACAATACAGTAAAACACACTTTGATAAACAAATCAACACTTGTATTTCTCTGTTAGATCTTTACTCTGTTTTGGCAATCAGACATGTTCTCTGTGTCCGTTTGTTTTTTCTCCCCCGTAAATGACCCATTTCACTGATTCATCTTTCAGAAAGTGGAGACATCAAAGCCAGTGTGGCTGTCCTCAGCTTTATTTTGTCCAGTGCAGCCAAACATGACGTTGACAGCGAATCGCTGTCCAGCGAGCTGCAGCAACTGGGGCTGCCAAAAGGTGAGCTCCTATGGTCGTGATCATATTAAAATAACCAATAAGGAGTGTGCAGCACTTTCTAGACAGAGTTTTAGTTTTAGTGGCTATTAAATGTTTTAAGTGAATTGTCTGATATTATTTCTCATTGATCTGGTATTCATTTTACTGACTTTTCTTCCAGTGGTGTGTTCAGCAAACTTTGCTCATTAGGACCAGATGTGGTGTACTCTAGTTTTTAAACCTAATAACATAAGAATGTTCAAAGAAAATTTCAAATCAACACATAACATGATGATTAACTTGAATTTTTAATTTCTATAAAATTATTCTCCATTTTCCCAGAGCATGCTACAGGGCTTTGCAAATCCTATGAAGACAAGCACTCTGTACTTCAAGACAAACTAAGAGAGGCCAGCTTGAGATGTGAGTACATCTGGCAGTCCTCCTCATTTCAAAGCATTGGTTTTTGATGACTGAGGATTGATCTACATTCTGCCCTGGAATCACACTCAGTGGGACGACTTAACTCTGTGTCATGGCGTGTCGATTACACCCTGAGCTCGAGTGAACTCCGAGAAGTGAACGAACCAGTGATACAGCTTAAGCTGCAGACACAAAGAGCTGACCCTGGCTCCTCCGAAACGAATGTCTTCGCTGTCTCTGCTGACAAGTTTAGAGTCCTGCTAACTGGTCAGTTTTGTTTCTCCTTACTAATCACTTGCATTTCTCCATTGTCTTTACAAATCACAATTTTTATTTAAAAATCATTTAATTCCTGTTTTGTTTTGTTTTTCTACAGAGCTCAAACAAGCCCAGACTATGATGAATGCTCTGCAATGAAGTCACAAGAAGCAAATTATCCTGAGAAACTGCCATAAAGTGCCACACATACATAATGTACAGTATTATCTATTTGCTTGAATTTGTTTATTAAAAAATTAAGGAAAAGAAACCTCCTTGAATGTACTGCTATTTAATTGTATTTTTCTGTAATTGTTGGACATATTTTCAGATATTTGTTAATGAGCTACAATCACATGGTAGCTTTCTTTTTTTTCTTGTTCTGTAAAGTATTATCTTATTACTTGACACGCTTTGTTAATAATTGTATTGATCATTTCTATTATGCTGTCACACCTGTAATAAAATCTAAATTAAAAAAATAAATGCATTCCTCTGACAACTTACGTAACACATACAAATCCCAGAATTGCATCTTTTCAAACCATTTATTATCAAAACTAATATTTTTAAACACGCATTAGTGCGCTATTTTTTAGCCTTAAAAGATAATCACGCAATAGTAAAATAAATGGCCACATTAGCTGATAGGAAGATCTCGCGGTATCTCGCGATATCCAGAAATGAGCACCCGAATGTGGTTGTTACACAACGCAGGTAAACATGTGTTTTCTCCTTTCTGCCTGTGGCATCTTAGTCGAAAATACTTATATATTGTAGCAACACTATCGAGGTAAAAGAGTAAAAGCTACGCTGTTGGCCGACAGCTATTTCCTGGTTTAGGTGAGTTTGGCACACGGTATTAGCATTTCCACCAGTCAGTAGCTCTGTGACTTGTTCTGTGTACTAAAACGCTGTTTGAAGCAGGCAGAGTGAAATAATCATTACTGCTTGATATGCGCCTGTCTGTGTTCACATCCAATTGGTGTAGTCTGCTAGCCTAGTGAACTAGATCAAATTCTTGCTTTGCAAATAATACATTTATTTAGTCTGGCTTGCCAGGCTAGTAGTCTGCTGCTATGAAGGAATTCGAAATCCGTTTATTTCATGTTTGCCTCAGGAGTGCTAAATAGGGAATGGCAGATTTAATGTCAGCATAACTAAATTATTTAAAAGTAACCCAAGTAAATTAAAATGCATTTTCAAATGATTAAGAAGAAAGTACTGTAATAAAAGTAGACCATTTTAAAATAACTTTAGGTCAAAGTTCAGAAATTCTCCATCAGAGCAGAATTCATCAGTGATATAACCAACCAGGCCCAGAAGCAGCTGGAAAGCAGCACACCAGTACTGTTCTAGATGTCATTCTGGGTTCTTTTGTTCCTTGATTCCTTAAGAACGAAGCATAATGTTCCTCATAGTGTTTCATTAAAGTAATTTCTTAATTCTACAAGTTTATAAGCGAGAATAAGCTTTCCAGATAATGTGGTTGGTGACAGATGAGTTTTTCTTTCCTCTAGCTGCAGCAGTGTTTTGTCCTGTACCAGAATGCCTGAGGGACCAGAGCTCCACCTGGCCAGCCAGTTTGTAAACAAGATGTGTGATGGAGTGGTCTTCAGTGGACCAGTCGGAAAATCTGAGGTCAGCAAAAATCCTGATGTGCCCTTCACCTGTGAGGCGTACTGCATCACGGCCACTTCCAGAGGGAAGGAAGTCAAACTCACACTGACGCCCATCAAGTGTGAGGATGATCTAAAGAGGAGAGCAAAGGGCAAACAAGTGGATCAGCCCATGGATGTGGTCTTCCGCTTTGGGATGTCTGGTTATTTCCGCTTTACTGGAGAGGATGAGCTGCCCAAGCATGCCCATCTGCGTTTTTATACCAAAGAGAAGCCCCGCAGAGTGCTGAGCTTCGTGGATACTCGCAGGTTTGGCAGCTGGCAGCCCAATGGAACGTGGCAGCCTGACAGAGGGCCCTGCATCATGTTTGAGTATAAAAGATTCAGGTCAGTAAAACCCTGATCACGTGTTGTCATCTGCCTGACCAAAACTCTATCATCTCACTAATAAGGATGAGTTTTTTATATTTGCAGGGAGAATGTCTTGTCAAACTTGAGCGATCGGGCTTTCGATCGGCCGATTTGTGAAGTCCTTCTGAATCAAAAATACTTCAATGGTATTGGGAACTACCTGAGAGCTGAAATCCTTTACAGGTGATGACCACGTAACTTTAAATCTAAACCTCACAGTGGTGTTAAACAGAACACTGGCATACATGTGCCATCAGGTTTGAAAATCTCTTTCCAAAATGCTTTGTTCCTGTAAAAGAAAGAGAAACATCTGACTGGGTTTTGTGTTTGTGCGACAACACGCCAAACCAAACTCTGGTTCTCATGAATTTCAGGGTCATTCTCCTCCAGATATCACATGCTTAGCAGGAATGTGTGAATATTCGGTCTCTGAAAACAAAAACAAAAAACTCTTGTAGAAAACAATCAAATCTCAGTTTTGTTTTTTCTCTCTCAAGGCCGAACATCCCACCCTTTGTGTGTGCCCGGAATGTACTGGAAGGCCTTGAGTTGGAGGATACTTTGGATGAGAAAACCGTGAAAAATGAGTTCCCAACCTCAAAGGTGAACGAGCTGGCTCAAATCAGCTTAAGCACCGTACATTCTAACTCAATCGGTCTAATTTCTCCTGAATCATTTCTTTAGAAGTCTAAAAAGAAAACGATGAACCAGGAAAGCGGTGACCTGCTCAGGCTTTGCCACACGATTCCTCTGGAGGTGGTCAGTTTAGGTGGGGGCCTCGTGTGTTTAACTGAAACTAATAAAATGCTGCATATTCATGACGGATGTGATGTTTCAGGTGGTAAAGGCTACGACCCCGAGAAAACGGACTACTCCACCTTCATGGCATGGCTGCAGTGTTATTACGTTGACGGAATGAAGACTATGCGGGACCACAACGGCCGCACCATGTGGTTCCAAGTCAGTAAAAATGGGAAAATATGTATTTTAGCATTTTGACACAGTCCTTTTACTGATGTGAACTGTTTGGGTTTATTTCAGGGAGATCCAGGTCCCATGGCTCCTAAAGGTAGGAAAACACACGCGTTAAACTCTACATCTGAAACTTACATACAAATCTGACTTTATTTATAAAGGTTCAAAGTCACCCAAACCCAAGAAGAGGGTAAAGAAAGAGGATGACCACGATTACACAGAGAAGGAAAAGGCAAGTTAAATTGTTGCCTGGAAGCAAACTGAGAAGTTGCAGCTAACGCTGTTTGATTTGTTTAGGCAGCGGAAAGTCGCTGTGAAAGCACAACAAAGAAACAAAGGGTGGTCAAAAGAGAAACGCCAAAGAGAGAGGGGAATGCACGTTCAAAGGAAGTGACATCAAAGAGAGGAAAGACTCAGGAAGTGATGCAGCAGAGTGAAACGAGACCTAAATCACGTAAGAGGAAAAGCAACAACACAGACAAAACTTCTGGTAAGAATATTTCTGAATCCTTAAACGTTTTTCAGGTAAACCAAACGCCGGGGGGGGGAAAATATTCTTCTTTCCTTGTTGCAGGAGAACAAAGTCGAACAGGGAGGGTGACCAGAAAGAACAGCAAATGAAAACCAAAAGGAGACGCCACTTTATGAAATACTTTTGTACTTTTATACTTGAAATCTATTAATAAAGTTTTTTGTTTTTCAAAACCTGGTACAAAAAAGGTGTAATCACTTTACTGTTAGCCAGAAGTTCTTATCAATATTCCAACTCCTAATTACTTGAAATCACAAAATGAGTTGAAGTGTCACAATTTGAAAAGGTTTGAAGGTCAGAGAGATTCCCTCCGGGGTAATAAGAGCTGGCCGGGCCGGGTCACGCCTCTCCAAGAGGTCACAACTGAAAGAGAAGAAAATTTTATTCTTTGCAAGAAATCCAGACATGAATACGATAAAGAAATGTAACACTTACTGCCAGGCTTCCTTGACTGGAAGGTTGGTGTTGAGTGTAGCAGTGACGCTGCCCCCATGTGACTCATACAGACGCACTACAAGTGTCCCCTTCCCATCCTCGGCCTGGAGAGGTAAACAACCCGTGGCATCAAGCAGTTCGTAAAATCACACGTTTGCTTTTGTGTGAATCAGCTTGTCTTGTTATGTGATGTACCTGTTTAATGGTCTCAAGTATGACTGAAGGAGGGCTGACTGAGAAGGCGCTCCAGGGTTCAGAGTCAGGATGGCATTGGATCAGCCTCAGTGGGAAGTTCAGGTTGTAGGAGCACTGGATAACAGATGCATCTTGGAAAGAGTCTAAGTAAAGACATTGGTTTAAGTTTAAAGGGGCATTATGGAAGTTTGACAGTCAAAACATGTATAGAAATAATACATTTCTTCTTCATACATTCTCCTGCAATGCCCTGGTCCGGTAGAATGAGCCCTGGCATTTTTACTGTGATTGCCTGTTTTTCTGTAAAAATCACAGAAGAGTTGCTCGGGTCGAGCAGGCTGCTTCATGCGCGTTCACGCTCAGGCATAGCCCGTAGCATTTGCTATCCGTAGCTTTAGTCTGTCGCTGTTCCTAACGCCTAGTGACAAACCTAGCTACATTTTTGAGGACCCTAAGCTACTTTCTGTAGAACTTTCTTCAAGATATTTCCTGCAAATTAGCAACAAAATAGCCATTTTCGCTCCTAGCCGTTCTTTGGACGTTGTTTCAGCTGTCATCAAGGATATAAATGTTACAGATACAACAGGCATCACCGACGCTTTAGCTCACCTAGTAAGACGTCGGACTCTCGTGCTGAAGAGCCGAGTTTGATTCTGGATGTGAACATAGTTTATTTAGAGTTTATTTTTTACTTTAATGTATATTATTTTACAGTAAGATGCCCAAATTTTTATTTGAGACTCGCTGAACGGCATTGAATTCACAGATAAAAAAGATGTGGGTTCAACTTTCATTTTGGAACAAATTTTCAAGCAAGGGAAGGGAATGATCTGAGCATGCAGGAAGACTGGCCCATCATAAACCTTTGGCTGTGCTCAAGAGAAAGGTACAGAACCAATTTATTTCATTAATTAGCTGCGCGTTCTCCTGTCCTCTGTCCTCCGGACCACACACACACACACACACGACTGTCTCAGAGCTCTGTTATTTTCGTTAAGGAGTGTGCACGCACAGCATGCACGCCTCGTGCACGAGCCTACTATTGAAGCTGCCGTTACGCTTTTGGCCAATCGCCAGCATAAAAATTCAAAACTCCGTAAAGTCCCTTTAATGAGTCTCAGTAACACGGAGAAAAGAGAAGCATAAAACTTACTTGTGTGTGGCATGATGGCGTATGTGAACTGATGAGTCCCCATGTCTGCAACAGCATCTGGGGCCTTAGGTGCTCTCAGCCTAAAACGACATTTATTTTTAAACAAAAGTCGTATTTTTAATTCAGTGCAGGTGAGATTTGGTGTAAAACAGGGAAACCTCACAAGGACAGGGTCATTGTGTTCCTGTGGATGGAGTAACCGTATTTGGAGTCATTCAGAAGTGCAACTCCAAAGTTGTGCTCAGATAGGTCTGCCCATTTGTGAGCCCAAACCTGAGAAAGAAAACGCCAATGATGACACAAAATGTTTAAACAAGCAAGGCCTCGCTGGTGTGGCTGGATTTTTAAACATGTTTAAAAGGTAAGAAATCAACTGTCAAAATAGTCACAGTGACATTAGGAGCTTCTAGAATCCCAGAAAGTGTAAAAAATGTCAGATTATGAGGAAAATCTGCTAACAAAACGAGAAATGATTAAAACACTAAGAGACAAAATTGCATGATCTTTTCACGAATGTTGTAGGTGAGTTAACCATCAATTGAGAATTTGCTAAGTTTTTGCAGCTTTACGTCTAAACTAGTCTCCAGCAGTCCCTGCCCAGTGAGCGAGGGTCTTCAGTGACACGGAGAACCCTGGAGGACTGGTGTCATACCTCAAACCTGGCCCAGTCCCATGATGTGTTCCAGTGAGTGGGTCGCTGCAGATGGCCAAACTGGATCTCGTATGTCGCATTCGGGCTGCGCACTCGCACAGGAAACTCCACCTTGAGAAACTTGTGTGACTCCGCCCACTGCACCTGAAATCAGTGAAGACAGTGACCTTTTCTCCCGTAATAAAGTGTTTTATTAAGAAACGGAGGTGATGCAACGCTTTGGGGTACCTTTGTGTTGAATTTGATGTAAGGACACACAGCATCCATGACGATCTCTTGTGTGACCGTGCTTTTATCACTGATCCTGAGGGCAAAGCTGACGCTGCCCCGAAGCCCACCTGAGGACACCACCTGAACCGGCTGCACCACCTCCACCACAGGCTTCCTACAGGATCAGTACAACAGCGTTTATCTAAAAGTTCCCACTAGTGCATTACAATGTGAAAGAAATGACCAACACCTCGTCTGAAGATGGTAATCCATCACATCCCAGGCATCCCAGTACAGAGGGACATCATCAAATATGACAAACTGGTTTCCAGCACAACCATCAGAGATGGTTTCTCTGAAATAAGTAAACAGCACGATCACCCATACGGACACATCATATACAGGTGTTCATTTAGTCCTGTATTACCTGTTGGCACTGATCACTCTCAGAGAAGTCAGAGTGCCATCTTTTCTTACGATGGTCTGTAGAATTCCATTCTCCATGACGACAGCACCATCAGCCTAATGCATTAAACCCTCATTAATGCCAATAATAAACAACTAATCAATCATCACTTTTATTTAAGGAATACCTGAAGTGTGACAGAGACAGGAGTCAGGGGTTGGGTTTCTTTCACCAGAGATACTCCGACGCTGGGAGCTCTCACCAGAGCTGAAGAACCACAATGCAACAGAAATCAGCTTAAAGGTTAGAAACCCACGATCTAAAGTCTCTAACGTACCCAGACGAGGTTTCTCTGAGTCATCTGTAATCTGTATGACTTCATGGCGCTCCCATGGAAGAGAGTTGAACACACCAGTGGAGCCACCCTTTGACCCCAAAGCCTCACAAGCCTCTTGCAGAAGTGCAGCTCCGTCACCGTGGATCTCTTTGGGTAAATGCGATTTATGAATCAGCATGGCTCTGATCTGAATAAACTGCTACTGCACTAACAGCTGTACCTCTGTAATAATTAAGAGCATCCTCCACAACCATTCCAATGCAGCTGCCAGGAATCACATCATGGAACTGGTTCAGAAGGAGCAATCTTTCACAAAAAAAGGGAAACACATTTAAATTAAAAAATGTACCACACATTTAGTGATGTGTAACTTTGAGATGAGGTTGAACCTCCACAGCTGCTGCAGTTTAGCCACAGGATACACAAACGTCTGGTTTTGACACAAGGCCAAACTGCTGGCGACCTCCACATCGTGAAGCAAAACTTCACACTGACGGTTTTCCCTTTTTATCTGAAAGACAGGATATTAATAAAGGAAGATGGGATTTTTTTCATGATTGGAGTGTTTATAGAGGCAGTAGAAACCCACATAGCAACACAAGAAGATGTAAAAGGTGAATTTGTCATAATATATCCCATAAAAAGCCAATAAGCAATTCAGTGCAGATTTTGAACATTTAAATAGAAACTATTAAGTTGAATTTAACTCTTGAATGATGTCTGTTTCTACCTGTGCCTGTGTGGTGTAGGTGCCGTTGTGCAGCTCCAGGAAAAGCTCTCCGGTCCACGTGCACAGCAGAGCTGAGTCAGCCTGAAGCTGTGAGAAAAGCTTGTCAGGGCTGGACATCTGGACTCTGAGAAACACCCACACATATAGATGGAAGTGAGCAAGACTGTCCCATCATCCAAAAGTCTATTTCTAACTTTGACTAAAACAGGAGAGCATTTACTAGAACAGTATGACATCAGTAGACGTGGCTCATATCCCCCTACATTTTAACAATGTTGTGCCTCGTTATGTACGCCTTTTAAAATCATAATCCTGGAAATGGTGCAGAACAAAGGCAGTAAACTAAAACAACTGACTAAAGTAGGAGGGAAGGGTTTCCTGCTCCGTGTGGGTTTGGTTATTGCTCCAGATAAGTGATGAGTTTGTGTTAAAAACAAGAATGGACCTGGGAAGCCCATCTGTGTCCTTGATGAGGTGAAGTCTGTCCAGCATCAGCTGTGTGGGCCCACCACCACCATCCCCAAAGCCAAACAACGCTGCGCTGTGATTGGCTCTGCCTTTATCTTTGTTATTCTTCACAGTTTTCACAAGCTGTGGGAAGATTTCACACAAAACTTGAGAAACTCTCTGAAATAATTTCACCCAGACTCAACAATCATCATAAGCACAAAAGTCTAAACTCACGTCTTCAACCTTGCCTTTCATTTCGTAGGAATTTCCAGGTGGGAAGTGAGTCAAAACTTTGGAGCCGTCCAGACCTTCCCAGAAAAATGTGTTGTGCTTTAAACAAAGAAAACACAGAAATCGAAACTGAAAGTTAAGCCTTTTAAAACATTTTTAAAGTAAATTCGTATAATGAACGCACAGGAAAGGTGTTGACCAGATTCCAGCTAAGTTTCTGTGTCAGGAAGTTAGAAATGCCACATCCCTGCATGATCTGAGGCAGCTGGGCAGAGTAGCCAAATGTATCGGGAAGCCAGAACTGCAGAAAAGGCAAATACATGTAATTTGTGACTTTATAATCAACTCTATAAAGTATCTTACATTTAATCCAGATTATGTCAGCTTATGTAAAACTATGTTAAGAATACCTCTTTGCACAGCATCCCAAACTCTTGGTTAAAAAAGCGCTGGCCCTGCAGGAACTGACGCACCATGGACTCGCCTGAAGGCAGGTTTCCATCCTAAACATGGGCATGTTGTTTCTTTGACTATTTTCAACATATGCATGTAATTCATTCATCTGAGTAGCTTTACCATTTCCACCCATGTTCCTCCAACTGGAATAAATTGGCCTCTTTTGACATAATGCTGAATCTTGGTGAAGAGTCCCGGGTACCAGTTCTTTACCCACTCAAACTGCTGGGCCTGGAACAATAATCTGGAGTTAAAACAGGACCAGATTAAGACCAATTAAGTGTCAATTAAGCTCATTAAATATGATTCTGATGCAATAACCTGAGAGCAGGTGAAGACAAACTCTGGATCTTTCTCCATTAAACTGACCGCCGTCACCCAACTTCGACCGCATTTACGAATCGTCTCTTCGTAGGGCCACAGCCAGGCTGTAGATAACAAAGAAAACAATAGTTCAGCACAAAGTTTTCATAGTAAAACTTACAGCCAACAGTTTAATGAATGAAACAGGATGTTAGCATTTCGGGAGCTGTTCTGCTGTGGTTGTGATAAGAGACCTGAGTCTATGTGGCAGTGACCCATTGCGTGGACAGTGTGCTGACTTTCTCCGTTGTGCTGGCTGAAGAACTTGTGAGCCAGACTGTGGGCTTTAGAGAAGGAGCTGGGGTCAGAGGGGTCACAGAGGTTCACCATCTCATTGGCAGTAAAAAGAGCCTGGTAGCCTCTCTGTTCTCCTTCTCCAAGCTCCTGTTCCAAAACAGCCGGATTTTTCATTTGCCTTAATCACATTTTCTCTTATTGGAGTATTATACGGCTGAGAGTACCTTAACAATGTCAACAAGCATCTCGAACTCAGTCAGCAGCTTCTGTACATTCCTGTTGAAGATCACCAACTCTGTCTTGTGGACAGAGAACTTCCTGTTTGGGTCTGGAGCTGCGATCATGGACCCTTGACCAGCTCCAAACAGACCGTTACAGGCCATTTCTACATACAGGGTTAATCTGCAGAGAGAGAATTATATTAAAAACAGCAGAAACTTTAGTTTTTATCTCAGATTTTAATCAGCTGACCTGTGGGGCTCTTCGTCTTTCAGACACTCAGATAGTATGTAACTCGTCTTTTCACCCTCCTTAGTCAGCCCCTGCAAATTAGAATTAGATGTTACTCTCTGCAATTAAATCTGTATGCATTTCTTCTCGCTCTAGCCAAATAAACACTAAAAATGTCTGCTTCATGACCTGAACTGGCTGCCCATCTCTCCAGACCATCGCCTCCCCATCACTTTCAAAGAGAAGATGAACCTCTTTCCCTCTCCAGGATTCAGGGATCGTCATGGACACTTTAAACCAGCAAGTCCACCACCTTTAACAATTATCAAGCCTGGGTTAAAGACAGAATTTGGGGCAGTAGAAGATGAGAGGTATAAAAACCTGTATAAATAATCTACTCACGTTGGTCCAAAGGTGTCACCGATATGATAAGGGTCAAAGTTCTGCTGAGAGGCTTCACTGAATGTGATTCTGTTAGGGGACAGGAAGGAGTCGATGGTTTCCAAGGGACACGATTCTCCATAAAGCCTGCAGAGATCAAATCAACAAGAACAGGATCATTTATACACACAAAAATATACAGGCTGCTGGATTCTATGAGGGGAAAGCTCAATCCAATAAGCAATACAATAAACCAGATTAATCACATTTTTTAAATAAAATATGATTTAAAAATTTCTTTTTGAGATGACTGATGAGGTTCTCATCTTTTGAAGTAAATTTTATGGTTGATTCTTTTTTTAACTCGTTGAAGACAGCTCTTTGAATGACCTCAGTTTAGAGAAATAGAGCTTAGTCCAGATCGGATAGGTGAGATAACTTCTGTTTATAATAGGGCCAGCTGGGGTGTATTGTTAAAGCATTTAGAAAACCTTAAAACCATACCCACTTGATGGCCGCTTAACACCTGCTTTATATCCTTGTTTGTGATTGTGATCAATTTCACGAGAGCCATGGTTTATTTACGTACTTATTTATTTATTCTTATTTTGCGTGCACAGTTTCATTTATGGTGAATATTGATCTACTCCCTTTAATTTTTAACATTCCTTCTTTTTGACTTTTCTTTTCTGGAATGGTGTCCAACGTGTTCTAGGGAAGGGGTGGGGTGGGATTAACACACACACACACACACACTCACACACTCACTGCTGCTTTTGACACAGTTGATCACAATTTTCTCTTAAAAAGGCTCGAACAGGTTGTAGGAATGAAAGGAACAGCGCTAGGCTGGTTTAAATCTTATCTGTTTGACATATTTAATTTAGTTAATGTACATGACAAATCTTCATACTCTAGGGTTACTTGTGAAGTACCACAGGACTCAGTTCTTGAACCAATTCCTTTCACTATATAAATATGCTTCCATTTGGTAAAATCATTTGACAGCATGGGATAAACTTCTACTTATTTAACTTCAAGGTTTTTATCCATAAACCTGATTAACCTAATCAGTTAGGTAGATCACAAACTAGTCTTGAAGACATAAATGTGTGGATGGCTCAAAACTTTCTGCCCTTAAATCCAGACACGACAGAAGTTGTCATCTTTGGACCAAACTTATTTGTGTGTGTGTGTGTGTGTGTGTGTGTGTGTGTGTGTGTGTGTGTGTGTGTGTGTGTGTGTGTGTGTGTGTGTATGTCTGCATTGTCTTCTCAAATCCCCAATGAGTCGCAGCAGATGGTTGCTCATACTGGGCCAGGTTCTGTTGGTTTCTTCCTGTTAAAAAGGAGTTTTCCTCTCCACTGTTGCTACATGCTTGTTTAGTATGGGGATTGCTGCAAAGACACAAGTCATTGTTTATTCCACTAAAAATATAATAAAAATGTAGCCAGAAGGAACCTGCAGGAAATTACCTGAATCATAACTATAAATAATTGACTCTGTGCATCTTAGCATATGCTACTTCTGGGGGGGAAAACTCCTAAGAGCGTTTCACTTCCGTTGTTAGCCTCTGCATGTTTACGCTAGGATGTACAGTTGGGTTTTTCATCAGAAGTCAGGCAAATGGCTGAATTAAGCGGTGATTTAAACTTCTCAAGATGTCTCGGGCATTTGCCAAATTTATCTGTAGATGATGTTCATCGACTCGTTGATCTTTTTCCCCCGCGCCTCTGAGCAAAAGAGAGAAAGGATTCAAGTTTTACATCTCCCAGTATTTGTATAATTTCGAAGGTAAGTCACAACAACATATCCTTCATAAATACTAATATATAGGGACCCTTAACAGCGAAACAGTCATTTATTTTTTTATATCCTTTGGCTTTTTTTTCACGGTTTGCTGACATGCTGTGTGGGTGCGTGTTTGACTGCGTTAGTTCATCTAAGTGTAGCAGGGGAAACATCTGGTTTTTGACTAACGCTCCCAAACTCCGGGTCGCTCTGACTTTTTCGTGAAGTCATTCCAGTGGAATAAAGATGGAACAATTGTTGGCTGAAGACATTGATTTCCAGAGGAAGACAAGAACATCTCACCAGTCTCAAAATGCCGACTACACACTCTAGAGCTGGCCGTAACTCTGAAGCGGTCCTGTCTGATTTTTATCAGTCATTGTGCCCGCAACTCAGGATCCTTGGGAAAGGAGTGAAAACTAATCGTTTTGTTAAATCTCCGTCCAGCAGTACACAGCAGGACGCTGCAGTGATGAGTGTTTCCACCTTCTGCTCTTTGTAGTTTAAAGCGATCATTCCGTTTTTGTAATTTTGACATGACTTTTGAGTCCGCAACAGTAGCGATTCAGCAAAATAAAAGCACAATAAAGTTAGCGGAAATTAACAACTCTACATCGGGTCTCAAAACAGGAAGTTAGCCTTTTCTCATGCACAGGGTCTATTATGCAAATAACTATGTGATGTGATATTAGGCAAAGTGTAATCATTCATAAATTAGCATTGATATTTTTTTATATTCGTTGTTTTAACACTCACCCTTACTCAAACTAGCCGTAACTCCATCTGTCTAGCACGAACAAATCTCTGTTTCTACAAACTGAGGCTGATCACGGATAGAAACGCTGCAAAAAATCTGAACTGCACATTTTTTGTTGTTTTTGCATTGCACTTATGGTATGCCTCCATTAGCAGTTTATAGACGGACGCTGTGGTATTAAAAAGAGTTAATGAAACATTTTTGAGTCATGCTTTCATTATCATTAGTGAACGAGTGCAGTGCAGCTCAGACTGTCCTACCGTCCTCTCAGGTTGCAGTCAGTGAAATAAACACCAGAGATAAACTTCTCCGCCCTCTCCAGAAGTGTGCGCCTGTTTCTCAGCACAGGCAGGTGAAACATGTCGAAACAAACACACAAGAACACTTGTTCAGCTCTAAAAACGCTGCAACAAAAGCTTAGAAGTGGGTGAGAACACGCTGGAAGTAAACAGAGTCGATGATGACGCTTCACGCAGAACCCGGAAGTTAAAAAGAATATTGTTTGGTGTTGGCCACTAGATGGCAGTGCTGTTTGAACAACATTTAAAAAGAAAAACACTAAAAACATTTTTTGTGTTTGATAAAGATTCATTGTTGTTCATTAATTTGCCAATCATTTATCATTTTATATTTTCCCAAGCCAAAGTATTTTTTCCTGGGACATCACTCTGTAGTACAACTACACAGATTGTAAAAGACAGAGACAGTTTTAGGAAAGCACATATGTTGAAGTCTGAACAGATGTCATTCATTTTATTGGGTTTAAATTATTCACAACAGTCAACCAGTCAAACCATTTGCTTCCGTGTTCGTCTGCCATCTGTCTACATCACATATTAGGTTAGGTTACATAAGGAAACACTATTAATCAGACACCCACATTATTTCTTAGGAACATAACTAACATAAAGCCTTTTGTACAGACTGTCTCAAAGTATGCTGTACCCAGCCATTTTTTTCCTTCCTATATCAATAGGCCTTCCAAATCACAGACTCAGGCAAGGCGTAAATATATTACAAAACATTAAAAAAGCTAATAAACAGAATCACAACATAAGGTTTAACTTATGTTAGAAGGTTGTGGCAGTTGAAAGAAAGCTGTTCTTATCCCACTGTGCAAAGACCTAGTTTGGACATCCTACAGACGTGGTCTGGATCGACAGGCTCAATATAGACATGATCTGCATGTCCGTGCGACGCTGACTTTTTGCAGGGATGGTGTTTACCTCTAAACTTATAGGAGTCTGTACCTGCGTCCGGATGGGAGAACCTGGAACTCATGGAGTCGTGGGCGAGAGGTGTCTTCTAAAATGGATCTGGCCAGCCTCTGTACTTGAAAACAATGTGCTGACTAGACCACTTCAATATTTGACTGACTGTTGTGGGTTTTGATTGACAGATTTCCAAACCATGGCACCAAACAGAAAGATAAAACCGATTCAGTAAAAGCTAGATAAAACAACAGCAGCGGTGATTTGTCAATATGAAAGGATTAGAGTTTCCTCAAGAGGACAAGACGCTGATGAACCTTTAATAGACAGCCTCACAATTTGGGGCTTCACAATTTGCCTCGAATGTCAGCTTGACCTCTCAGTTGTATGTTACGGGAAACATTGGCACATTTTCTCTTGGTTGAACTGAAAATTCAATTTCGTCATTCTGTTGCATGCTGCTCAGATGGTTTCATTGCTGCCCTTAGGTCCAAGTTTCAACTGAAGAAGAAGAAGAAGTGCCTCTCAAGATAAAAATCACAAAGTGCTTTACAAGAAACAAAAACAAATTTGAAATGATTAGCAATTACCTCTGTCTCACCACAGAGACAGCTCTGCCCACTTTTTCATAGCAACCCACGATGGAGGACAATCAGAGAGTAAGTAATGCATGTAAAGCATATTACTGGTGTAAGAGTATCTTTTGAGCTTACCAAACTAAATTTCATTGTTGAGTTGTGTTTGAAAACAAAATGGTTTTCTTTTGTTTATTTTAAAATGAGTTGATACAGTTTATCACCACATTTAGGTTAAGCTAGGAGCTACTAGCTGAGTGGAAATAACTGGTCTGAACTACACATTAGATTCTGTCGTTCACACTTTGCTAAATTAAACAAAGTATTACATTAACTGTGAATAAGTTAACAGAAAATCTTAAGGAAATTTTTCTTATTTTCTAAAAGAAATAAAGCAATTGGTTTACTTTAGGCTAAATGTTTCTTTTATTACATACAAAGAAAAAGTTATGTTCATTGTCCTTCAGCAGACCACAACAGAGTCATCTGCATATTGTATGATATGTCTGCACTCCCTACTGCTGCGGCACATTAGTGTAGAGGATGAGGAGAAATGAAGAGGTGACAATTCCTACGGTGTCAACATTTTAAAAAGGTCAACATTTTTGGAAGATTACAGTTAAATCTATCCATGTTTTAATAAAACACAAAATTGAGGGTTTTTTTCTAGATTGACAATAAGAGAGGAGAAGAAGGAACATTTATAAAGTTTGTAGCTTCTTCTAAATTCTTTGAAAATAAAACACTGAGGCATTTTGGCGTTACTCGCTGTAATGGTCTATTTCTCTTTATATATGTAGAGATAAATGAGTTGACATCATCACAGTATACAATAACATCAAATGTGCCAGAGTAAAAATGGGTGTACATAATCAAAGGAAGAAAATGTGACTGTATGTAAGAAAATTACTAGAAATATTCAAGAGGACGGCACTTCATGTTATGTTTAAACATATAATGTAGCTACAACTAACCTAGAATCTAGACTGAAGCAAAATTGACAACATATAGGATGGCTTGCCAGGCTAGCTTACAACAACAAATTGTAAGTCGCTTTGGGTAAAAGCGTCTGCTAAGCACATAAAAGAAAGAAGAAAAGAACATAACAGACTAAAATCACTGATTGGACATAGGAAATACAAATGCATGCTCCATAAACAATAACACGTTTCAATTCATTTTTAAGTATATAAATGTTAGTAAGTCGTCCCAGTACAGCGCCTTGCAAAAGTAGTCATACCTCCTTAACTTTTACACAATTTGACCCCAACAACCACAAACTTAAATGTTAGTTTCATTATAAGCACAACTGGTGGTTTGTTAGAGGACATTATTGACCAAATAGCATTATGAAGGCCAAGGAACTCAACAGACAGGGCAGGGATAAAGTTGTACGTATGTTTAAAGAACAGTGAGGATTTTTTTAAGGCACTAAGAATTGAACATCTCAAGGAGCATTGTTCATCCCTCAGCTAAAAATGAAAGAAAGTATCTTACAACTGCAAACCTACAGAGACATGCGGGAGATAGACCTTCCAACAAGATAATGTCCCTAAACATACAGCAAGAGATCCAGGTTTAGATCTGAGGTGTCAAACTAACTCTCTCTATCATTGACTATTATTTATTCAGCTAACAGATACTGTAAATTGTGTTATAACAGAATTTTCTTTAATTAAGAAACCCACAATCAAATCATATCTGCAAACTTTTAAACCAAAACACAAAAAAGTCATCTTAAACATCAACACAGGAATCTAAAACAAGTTATCAGGTTAACATTTTGCCAGTGTTTGGGCAGAAGGCACAACAAGTTTCCATGAAAATGTTAGAATAAAATCAAAAAGAAGAACTTTCATCAATAACAACAGGCTTAAATCCTATTTTGTTGGTATTAAGCTCTGAGCCGAAGCATGATCCATCTACGCCTGAAAGAAAAAAACTAATCCAAAGCAGTACGCGGGATTCCCATTAGGGGGTGCAATTGACTTAAATGTGTCAAAAGCTGCGCTCAGATCGTATGTACAGTCTATGGCTCAGATCTATACGTATTCTCATCTACTATAAATATATTTAACATTTCAGATGAACAACAGATTAAAGTTAACTTCTTAAGATGATTTAAAAGAACATCTACATCATCGCCATGAAAAGCAAAATGAAAC